TGTTCCCTGCTGGGAACTGGCCTGCAACCCAGGCATGTGCCCTGACTGGGAATTGAACTGCAATTCTTTGGTTTGTAGGCCCACGCTCAAGCCACTGAGCTATGCCAGCCAGAGCAGAAATACATTCTTGAGTATAAAAAGTAATATGAGTGTATGTATAAGATGACCAAAACTGTCTTCAAATATACATATATATACTATCAAATTAATGCTTTTGTACAAATATGTGTTCTAAAAGGACCCAAATTTAAAGTGAACATTTAATCTTTTAATGCTCAGTCTAAATCTACAACAATAAAATAGTTCAACTAATTATACCATGCTAATATTAACAGATATTTTATAGCCATTAAAAATGTCCTGAAGTAATTTTTATAACAAGAGAACATGTTAAATAAGGAAGAATGAAAAATAAATATACCTTATGACACAAAACAGTTCACTGAGTCTGTGTGACTGTGTGAATCTGAAAAAAGCAAAACACCAAAATGCCAACAGAAGTTGTTCTGGGTGATAAAATCATTTACTTTTATATTCTATTAATATTTTCTAAATTTGTTGTGAAGAACAACATTAAAAGTTTTTAAAATAACCATAAGGATTTATATGGGCACTTCTTGATACATACGAAGAAGATGTGTTATATAATATCTAAGATGTGTCACATAATATCTAAGCTCCCAGAAGGCATCAAATATTTGATGTATACATTTTTCTATTATTCATAATTACTATGACCAAGTCTCATTCTGGGAAAAAACAGCTGAATAATTCAAGCACAAGTATCCAAGTAGATCCATTCCAATAGAACTGAGGAAAAGAATTCTCATATCAGGGCTTAAGAACACCTGTCACTATCATAGTAATTATCAATAATAGAAAAATGTATACACCAAATATTTGATGCCTTCTGGGAGCTTAGATATTATGTGACACATCTTAGATATTATATAACACATCTTCTTCGTATGTATCAAGAAGTGCCCATACAAATCTTATGGTTATTTTAAAAACTTTTAATGTTGTTCTTCACAACAAATTTAGAAAATATTAATAGAATATAAAAGTAAATGATTTTATCACCCAGAACAACTTCTGTTGGCATTTTGGTGTTTTGCTTTTTTCAGATTCACACAGTCACACAGACTCAATGAACTGTTTTGTGTCATAAGGTATATTTATTTTTCATTCTTCCTTATTTAACATGTTCTCTTGTTATAAAAATTACTTCAGGACATTTTTAATGGCTATAAAATATCTGTTAATATTAGCATGGTATAATTAGTTGAACTATTTTATTGTTGTAGATTTAGACTGAGCATTAAAAGATTAAATGTTCACTTTAAATTTGGGTCCTTTTAGAACACATATTTGTACAATGGAATATCCTTCTTGCAGAAAGAAGGTGTGAAGAAAGGCTAAGACGATTGTTCATTTTTTTAAAGATGACTTTTATTTATTGATTTTTAAAGAGAGGGGAAGGGAGGGAGAAAGAGAGGGAGGGAAACATCAATGTGTGGTGTTTCTCTCACATGTCCCCAGCTGAGCACCTTTCTGGGAATTAAACCAGAGACCCTTTGGCTTGCAGATCCACACTCAGTCCACTGAGCTATACCAGCCAGAGCTCATTTTTTGTTCTTAACTGTGCTTGGGTCTCAATATCTCTTCCAAAAATTCAAGTGCCTACCTGCATTGAAATCTGAGAACACCTTGCCAACCTCATTAAGTGTCTTGTTTCTGAAGCTTGCTTACTTACTCTTTTGGTACATGTTTCCTTACAAATAAATTGTAGAGACATTCCCACTATTGTAAACCAAACAAAGCAAAAAAAATTGTGACTGGATATTATCCAGGTCAATATTTTTGACTCAGGGAAACAATAAAAGTCAACAAATTCCCATCTCAACCTCATTTCATCAGTTTCCTAATCAAAAACACTCCCTTGGTTTTCCCCATAAGAACTTGGTTTGCAACCCATTCCCCAACCATGCCATGCCAGTTCTGAGGTTCAGGGTCCATCAACAAATCTTAACTTTGGAAAAGGGCTGGAAAAGTTGAGGATAATATCTGAATTGTACCTCATATAGCACTTGATAGATAATAAGAGAGAACAAATCTTTTTTCTAATTTCTATTTGGTAGCATACTGTAATATCTCTGTTATTTTAAAGAAATGGGTAGTCTTGCCCTAAATGGAAGGTATTATTGATTTTTTTTCAATTCTAAAATAGCTCTGCAAGTTCTAGTATCATTCTAGAAGATGCTGAAAACCAAGGTGGTCAATATGGCAGGTGGGGGAAAACAGTGGGAGAAATCTAGAGAGCGGGGGATGCTTGGGGTACATAATGTCTGATAAGTATTTGAGAAATGTTTATTAAGTGTATTTAGGTGCACGGGTCTCACTGTGATTCCTAGTTTGTACAGCCACTATGACCACAGTGCTTACTACTAGCCCGCTCCCCCGTGATCTACACATACCTTTTGGAAGGGGCTGGTAAAACAAGTGAAATGGTCCAAGTTTCATCCAAGTTCATTGAGTTAAAAGCAGAGCTCCAGTTCACAACGGGCATTGGAAGGCTAGGCAGGGAAGCTGATGCAAAAAAAAACCCAAAAACCTATTCCTATTAACTCATCTACTGAAGAATGAAGATAGCAAGGGTTGTACCTCTAAGGCAACTGGGTGAACCATATGACAAGACTTGAGTTACCAATAACATTTCCAGACCTTGTCTGTATGAACTCTGGATCTGGTATTTGTAGGGACCCATCAGGATAAGAAAACAGGTTAAAATGATCTTCAATGTAGTTACGATTGTGTGTTCTTCTCAGAAGCCAAAGGAAATAATTCAAAGAATGTGTTAAACTATAGTTTCTCAGTTTTTCAATGAATGGTAAACCTCTCCAGTTAACTAAATTTCTTCTTTTGCATATATTTGTCAGAATTTATTTTTTATTCTTCTCAAAAAGTGGATGGTGCAGTCTGGTTTGTTTGTTTGCCATATAAATGTTCCCATGACTTTGATCATTAGATGTGGAAATAATGATATTGGAATAAACCATAATAATCAGAGCCCTTTTAGTGGAAGGCTATTTTCTGAATAGTCTGTTGTAAAACAGCTTTGGAAGTGGCATTGACTGTTCCAAATACATGCCCATATAGTAATGTGAAAATATTTTCAACAGCTGTCCAAAAACTGAAAGGGTGAAAATTTTTAAAAACACTTAACTTAAATCAACTGGGTAATTAAGTGAAATAAAAATCAAACTTACTTTTTAATTTATAGAAAGATCGAAACTTATAAAATGAGCCTCCATTCAAAAAGTACATTACCCTTGGGAGATGAAGTCCTTGGGGGATAGTTTTGCAACCCTCTTCATCTTCCTTATAAATAGATCAAGAACAAGGGAGTGTAATTTACAGGGTAAATTTGGCAGCACATGTAAACCAATTCTCTAATCTTATTACTACACAGTGCAAAAATGATCCAAGTAGAAATAGGCACTAGCTTTATTTAGTCATCTTCATTATAATCTAATGAGACAATAAAGTCAGCATATCAACAGATAATTCCATTTCTTACATCATAGTAATATCTTCATGCAGATAACAGAAGTTTTTGTTTCACAACACAGCTGCTGTAAGTTGAATTGATTCAATTTAATTAACGAGCATTTATTCAGTGCCTACCTGTGCACAGCACTATCCTAGGCATACAAAAGAGTTAGAAGATAAGATCCCTACTCATAGGAAGCTTACAATCTGGATAGGAACAATAATTCATGCATACAAGAAACAAGAAAGAACCATTACAATTCACAGGAAAGTCAATAAATTAATAAACTCTCAAAGATACTAGCATCCAAATAAAGACCATCAAGGGAGTGATACAATTGGGTATAAAGGCTAGTGTGGATAATTTGACCAGAGGAAGTAAGCCTTGAATTTGGTATGATGGAAGCGACGAGCATATGAACGATAGGGGAACAGGGTGGTCATTCTGTGGCCAGTAAAAGATAAAAAAGAAGGAGAAATTCAAAGACAAAGTAATAAAAGTAAGCAAGTCAATTGCAGGGAATGGCAGGCAAATTGGCTTACCTCTGGGAAAAGACTTGAGTTAGGAGATGTAACTGAAGTCACACAACAAGGCTGGCTAAGAGCACTGTTACTATTCAAAGTCGATTTAAACTTTAAATAAATAATAATGCTTCAACACATCTAGAAACTGAAGCCCCCCTCCCACAAGTGTGTGTTTTCCTACCCTTAACAAAAACAAAGGAAAATTAAACAATATGAGAGTCGACACTCAGGAGATACGATCACTGGAGGTTGAACGATCAGACTGATGAAATAGCAATCACTGACAGTGTCATTCTTCTTTTAACTCATAAAGAGATGGGTTGTCTAAGACCCACATACCTCCTCAACCCTCTGCTAATCCTGCCCCTAATTCACTTAGGTTATTTATTCTGAAACACCTATTTTGTTTCATATTAAACCCAGCAGCAAATGAAAAGGCCTTGGGTGCATCTTTGTGGAGGGTCATAGATGGGGAGACAAGAAGAAAAAAAGAAAAAACAAGGTGGTGGTTTCATAAAGTCAGTTAATGAGTGCTCATGATGAGTACTTTAGGAACATATTTCTAAACCTGGAAAAAGAGAGTAAAGTAGTCCTGTTCCCAAGCCAAGAAAACTAAGGCAGAAGAAATGTATAAAATGAAAGTCCATAATGAGCAAAAGGTTTCCAAATTAATCTGTTTTACTGAGTCACGCCCTCTTTTGAACTCAATTTCTCAAGGAAAGGGGTCCGAGGAGAAAATGGCAATGCAGGAACAAATGCTGAGTTTGGAATACGGTGGAGATCCTTCTTGCTGCATTAGGACTGGCGATGCCTTACTGACCAGTCTGATCTTGATAATCCGCCAGGGTTAGACCAGGAGAATAGCAGCTCCACAACGCTTTTCTCTGGGCCTTCACACACAGCACTGCTTTTAAACAGCAAAGCGAGGAGTACTTCTGGACCCCCAACATATCTTTGAAAGTTACTGACCACCAGCAGCTGCAGCTGTTAAAAATAAATAAATTAATTAATAATAAGAGAGAAAGAAGATAAAGAGAAAGCAAATTAAAATTTTGCTTTTGGTGTGCTTCCTGATTCTGAATGAGATACCCTGAAATCCGTATCTTCCAAAAGTGTTGTACATTGAGTTTTCTATTCAAAACAGTTCTTTATTTCTTATTTTATAAAATCCTCACCAATTCTAAAGACAGGAGAGTGAAAGTTTTTCTCTATTTGGAACATTTATTCATTACTGCTTATGTAATTAATATAGAAATTTATTCCTTTCAGATTTTTCCAATAAAATAATTCTTCATTAAAAAATATTTTTCAATGTTCAGTAGATATTAAGTAGGTATATACTGAGTGACTGTTATGTATAAAATTCTGTATTATCTCTTGACTTAACAACCATAAATAAGATACAGTCTCTGCCTTCACAAAGGATATATGGAATTTTAAGGACAAATTATAGAAAAAAGATCACACTATAGCATTACATTGTTATTTAAAATAATAAAGATAGCAATAAACCTTAAGTAGAATTCAGATCAAGAAGTCAGAACTTTTCACTCATCATTGTAAACATAATTGAATAATGTTTTGTTTTGTTTTTTAGATGGCAAGAGTGTAATTTATTTTATTTTTTATTTTTCAATTACAGTTTAGATTCAATATTATTTTCCTTTGGTTTGAGGTGTACAGCACAGTGGTTAGACAATCATGTGCTTTACAAGGTCCTCCCCCATTTGTCCAGTACACACCTGGCACCATACATAGTTATTACAATATTATTAACTACATTCCCTCTGATGTACTTTACATCCTTGTGACTATTTTGTAACTACCAATTTGTACTTCCTAATCCCTTCACCTTTTTTTCACCCAGCCTCCCAACTTTCCCCGCCTCTGCCAACCATCAGTCCGTCTTCTGTGTCTATGAGTTTGTTTCAATTTTCTTTGTTCGTTAATTCTGTCCTTTAGATTTCACATGTAACTGAAATCATACCGTGTTTGTCTTGCCCATTGTTATAGTCGCAATCTCAATCTCGAGCCAATACAAAAGCACTGCAGTTACATGCAACATACCTCCTTGAACTATTTGATGCCTACAGGAGACTCAATTAAGCTTTAGAGACACACACAGACTAAAGGTTAAGGTGTAGTAAAGGATATCCTGTGCAAAGGAAACCAAAATCAGGGATAGCTATACTGATATCATAGTTTAAGTCAAAACCTGTAACTCACACGTGGAATCTAATGCACAGCCTGAACTAACAAGGAAAATGGGGACAGACTCATAGATGGAGAGCAGGAGGAGAGCTGGTGGTGTGGGGGTGGGGAGGAGAAGTAAAGGTGTGGAGGGATTAAGCAAAAAGGAAAACGAACTCGTGGACATGGAAAACAGTGTGGTGACTGCTGTATGAGATGATATAAAGGGACTAAATGGTAACAGAAAAATACAATAAGATTAAATTTAAAAAGAAAAAGAAAATCTGTAACAAGAGACAAAAAAAGTCATTATATAATGATGAAGGAGACAATTCATCAAGAGGAGATAGTAATTGCAAGTGTTTATATACCTGACATCAAAACATTTACACATTTGTATAAATATATAAAGCAAATATTAACATCTGAAGGGAGAAATAGACAGTAATACAATAAGAGCAGGGGATTCCAATACCCCATTTTCAACAATGGATAGATCACCCAGACAGAAAATCAGTAAGGAAACATTGAAATTAAACTCCACATTAAATCAGATTGACTTTCAGACATACAGAGAACATTCCGGCCAACAGCAGAATATACATTCTTCACAAACACACATAAAACATTCTCCAAGATGTTAGGCCACAAAATAAGTCTTAATAAATTTAAGAAGACTGAAATCTTATCGAGCATCTTTTCCAAATACAATAGTATAAAACTAAAAATCAGTTACAAGAGGAAAACTGGAAAATTCACAAAAATGTAGAGATGAAACACATGCTCCTGAACAACCAATGGGTAAAGGGAGACATACAAAAAGTAAAAAAATAAATACTCCCTTGAGACAAATGAGAATGGAAACACAACATGCTAAAACTTATGGAATGTAGCACAAGCAGTTTTAAGAAGGAATTTATAATGATAAACACATTATGAAAAAAGAAAGATCTCAAGTAAACAACCAAACTTTGCACCTCAAGAAACTAGAAAAAAAAGAACTATCTAAGCTTAAAGATAGCAGAAAGGAGATTAAAAAGAGCTAATAAAAAAATAAAGACTAAAAATAACTCCTCATAAAAAATAAAAAATGAATAAGTTAACAGTAAAGAGAATTGTGAAATGCCAAGCACACACATATACACATAGTAAAACAAAAACAAAACAAAAACCCAAAACCTAAAAACACAATAGAAAAAGTCAATAAAAGTAAGAGCTTGTTTTTTTGAAAATATAAACAAAGTTGATAAACCTTTAGTTATACTAAGAAGAAAAGAGAGAAGACTCTAATAAATAAAAAATGAAGAGGAGACATTACAGTTGATAACAGACATATTAATGATTATAATAAACTACTCTGAACCATAAGCCAACAAAAAAGTTCAACAGAAAAAAATGATTTCTTAAATTCTTAGAATTATATAACCTACCAAGGCTGAATCATAACCAAATAGAAAATTTAAACAGATCAGTTACTAATAAGGAGATTCGATCAGTAGTCAAAAATCTCCCAACAAAGAGAAATCCAGGACCAGATGGCTTTACTGTTGAATCCCACAAAACACCTAAAGAAAAATTTATACCAATCCTTCTTAAACTCTTCCAAAAAATTGAAGAGGAGAATAACTCTTCCTACACTCATTTGACAAGACTAGCATTACTCTGATACCAAAGCTAGAAAAGGACTCTTCAAGAAAAGGAAATGACAGGTCAATATCCCTGATGAACATAGATGTAAGAATCCTCAAAAAAATGTTAGCAAACTAAATTCAACAGTACACTGAAAGGATCATATACCATGATCAAATGGGATTTATTCCTATGATTAAAGGATGGCTCAACAAATCAGTAAATGTTGCAAATCAATACATGTGAAACATCACATTAACAAAATGGTGGGGAAAAGTCATATAATTATCTCAATTAATGCAGAAAAAGCATCCAATACCTTTCATAATAAAAATGCTCAATAAATTTGATATAGAGGGAATATATATCAATGTAATAAAAGCCACATATGACAAGTCCACGGCTAATACCACATGCAAGAGTAAAAGGTTGAAAGCTTTCCCTCTAGATCAGGAGTAAGATAAGGATCCCCATTCTTACCACTTTTAGTCAACATAATACTGGAAGTTCTAGCCAGAGCAATTTTTTTCTTTTTTAAAAAGTGTTTATTGTATTTTTCCACTACCATTTAGTCCCTTTATACTGCTCTCAACCCAGCAATCACCACATTATTATCCATGTCCATGAGTCCTTTTTCCTTTTTGCTCAATTCCTTCTCCCACTAGCTGTCATCCTGCTAGCCAGAGAAATTAAAATAAAAATAAATAAATAAAAGGCATGGAAATCAGAAGGAAAGAACTAAAATTGTCCCTGTTTGCAGATAATATAATATTATATCTAGAAAACCTTAAAGACTCCACCAAAACACTGTTGGAACTACTAAACAAATGCAGTAAAGTTGCAGGATACAAAATCAGTATACAACAATCACTTACATTTTATATACTACAACAAACTATCAGAAATAAAGAAATTAAGAAGACAATCTCATTTACAATAGTATCAAAACTAATAAAATGCATAGGAATAAATTTACAGGGACAAAATAGCTGTACATTGTAAAGTGTAAGACATTAATTAAAGCAATTGAAAAATATGCAAATAAATACAAAGATATTCTATGTTAACAAACAATTAATATTGTGAAAATGTCTATACTACCAAAAGCTATCTACAAATTCAATGCAATCCCTACCAAAATTCCAAAGGTGTTTTTTTAACAACAGTGAAAAAAAACTAATCCTAAAATTTGTATGGAACCACAAAAGACTCCAAAAAAGCCAAAATGATCTTGAGAAAGAAAAAAGCTTGAGGCACCATACTTCCTAATCTCAAACAATATTACAATGCCATAGTCATCAAAACAGTATGGCATTGACACAAAAACAACACAAAGATTAATGGGACCTCTATGAGAGCCCAGAAATAAACACACACATATGGTTAATTAATTTTTGACAAGGTACCAAAAATACAAAATAAGGAATGGGTAATCAGTAAATGATGTTAGGAAACCTAGATATACACATGCAGATTAATAAAACTGAACCCATATATTATACTATACACAAAATAAACTCAAAATTATTAAAGATTTGAATGTAATATTTTAAACCATAAAAATCTCAGAACAAAACGTAGAGAAAAAGCTGCTTGACATTGGTCTGGGCAGAGATTTTTTTGATTTGACACCAAAAGCCAAGGCAGCAAGAGCAAAAATGAAAAAGTAGAACTACGTTAAACCAAAAAGCTTCTGCGTGGCAAACACAACTTACAGATGGGAGAAAATATTTGCTGGCTATATTAGCTGATAAGGGGTTAAATCTAAAATATACCAAGAACTCATACAAATCAATAGTAAAAAAACAAAGAACCCAATTTAAAAATGGCAAAGGACTTGAAAGGACCTTTTTTTTTCCCTAAAAAAGACATGTAAATAGCTAAAAGGTACATGAAAATGTGTTCAATATCACTAATCACCATAGAAATGAAAATGAAGACTGCAAGGAGATACCACTTCATACCTCTTAGAATGTCTGTTATCAAAAGGCAAGAATATCTGTTATCAAAGGCTATCAAAAGGCAAGAGGTAAATGCTGGTGAGGATGCTGAGAAAAGGGAACCCTGCTGCACTGTTGGTGGGAATGTAAACTGGTGCAGCCAGTACTGAAAACACTACTGAGGTTCCTCAAGAAATTAAATATACGAGTATCATACAATCCAGCAATCTCACTTCTGGCTACATAGCCAAAGGAAATGACATCATTAAATTGTATTCCCACATTCACTGTAGTATTATTCACAATAGCCAAGGTCTGGACACAACCTAAGTGTCCATTGATGGATGAATGAACCTAATGTATGTGTATGCATGTAATACACATAAATATACAACAATTAATAAGTCAATAATACAAGATGTGTTTCATATCCTCACAATGTAAACCTACTTCTGCCTGCCCCTTTTCCACGTGTGTGTATACACACACAAGGGAATGATATTCAGCCTTGTACAAGAAGGAAATTCTGCCATTTGTGACTGTATAGATGAAACTGGAGAACATTGTGCTAAGTGAAATAAGCCAGACAAGAGAAAGACAAACACTGTATTGTATCCCTTATACATGGACTCTACCAACAATGGACTTGAACTCAGAGAAACAGAGTAGAGTGGTGGCTGTCAGCGGCAGGGGGTGGGGGAAATAGGGGGTGAGAGGGTGTGAACTTCCAGTTATAATGAACAGGGTCTAAGGCTGTAAGGTTTAACATGGTAGCTACATATAATGATACTTCTTGCATAATTAAAATTTGCTAAGAGAGTAAAACATAAGTGTTCTCACACAAAAAGTAAAAGGGTAAATATGTGAAGGATGGATATGTTAATTCACTCGATGTTACGAATGTTTTCATAATGTATGTGCTTCTCAAATCATTACGTGTACACTTTAAATGTATTACCATTTACTTGTGAATTATATATCAATAAAACTGAAAAAACTTAAATGCAGTTAAAAAACAAGCAGCATAATAACAATAAAAAAGTAATCCAAGGATACAGCTGCACTCATTCCCGGGGCCACAGAGGCTAGCCACCCTGGAAGGAGAGCAATGCTCAAAGAACCACAGGAAACTGCAGCTCAGCCCCGACCACTTCTAATCTCAGGGCGCAAGTGGCCTAAAGCCGTATACACATACCACTCTCCTGTCCATCTGTGTGGACTAATAAATTTCTTTCTTTTTCTACTTAAACCAATTTGGGAGTTAGGCAAGAGGGGAAGAAAATCGGGGGTTAGGAATTATGAGGGAAAAGTTGAAAAAAGTTTTCACTCAACTTCTTTGGCATCACTTTTTCACATGGAAAGCAAAGTACGTAAGTAATTTTGACATGTAGATATATGCTTGATTCTAATATTTTAAAAATTAATGCGATTAAAAAGAAAGAAAGGTTAATGAATCAGAAAAGGCTTTGACGACCCAGGGTGGTGAGCTCAGAGGACCCGCATGGGATCTTCCCCGTGTATCCTTCTAGTTATAAAAATCGTCCAAAGAGCCTGCATTTATATCTGCTATTTGTATGTGACTATGTTGACTTTTTTCTATCTTCTGTCATTTTGCAAGATCACTTTTCTATCACTACTGCTAAATGTACATTCCTGGATTTTTCTTTCAGTTTTCTTTCTCCCACTGGGAAAAAATCCAAACCCCCTGGATGCCTGAGAAGGGCTGAAAAGGTAGACAGTAGGAATGTGGGATGATTGGCTTAGGGTAATAAGGCCACTCTGCATCAACTGGAGAAAGGAAGAACATGCTGTTGTCGGGGGAGATAACTGCCAACACAAACGTATCTCAAACCTGCTCGCGCAGCTGCCATTTTCTTGTTTCGCAATTTGTTTTCCAAAGCTTGCTACACAGGGAAAAAAGGAGAAAAAATACACATGAGATTTTTCTGGTGTTTTCTACTACTTTAATAAAAGCACTATTTCTATGAAATACGTTGTACCCTACCTGCTTCATCTTCCTTTGCAGATCCAGGTTTGCGGCCTTCTGGCCCTTTGCAGTGGAGTTAAGATAATAGATGGTCAAACTAAATTTAAAAAGTAATAAAATTTATGGTATTTTTCAGCTCCTCAATATTCTTCTTAAAACTTACATTAACTAAATCATAGCATGTTGGCACTGGGGACAGACTTAAAGCTATTTTTTACTCTAAACCTCTCATTTTGTAGATAAAAGTCCAGCTGAGGCGCAGGGAGGGGAAAAGCGCACTCAGCCACGCAGTGACTGTGAGTGGACCTGGGAGGCTGGGCCCCGGTCCTTTCCTCCTCTGTGGGTGGCTCTGTTCACTGCACACTGGGGCCTAATTTTAGACTCTTCTTGGAAATGTATTAGTATCCGTTTAAATTATAATTAAAAGTGACATTTGAAACTGATGTTAATGCCTTCAAGAGAATGGAATATCTACTGAAGCTTAGGGAATGTGTAGCATAAAAAGGAAGCTGATTTTTGGCCTTAAATCCCTTCCTTTGGCTTTTACAACTAAGAATATAATCCTCGTAGTCATAGTTAATTAACATAAATTTTCCCCATAGGAAATGTTGTTTGCATTTCTCCCCCCTTCAAAAAGAAAATGCTTTGTAAAGTAATATTCTTGGCTTTTATGTTAGACATTTAAATTTCTTGAAAGAATAAATGTCAGCCAAACATTGCTAAAAATTCAATGAGCTCATCTTTACTTAAAGCAAAACAAACAAATAAAGAAAGAAAACATGCAGAAAAAAAAGGTGACTGGTATTGCTCTTCATGGCAAATAACTAATACCGAACACATTTCCTCTGTGCAGCAACACGCCAGATTATATACTTTACGAGCCATCTGCTGCTAGCAGCACAATTACTGACACGGGTTAGCAGGGTCTGTTTATCTCTTACATGAGTGGCAGGAGTTTGAATGAAAGTACATACATGAAAGCAGCTGGTGCAATATCTGTGATGAAGTAGGTGCTCAACGAACATGTGTGTAAGGGTGTGGTATCAAAATAGCAAGACTTTCTGAGAGAACTGCCCAGAATTGGAGGGGGTACTCAAAGACCCCGTAAGTCATTTGCAGTTCCTAATTCTCTGTTTATTCTTCACATTTTTCTGTCTTGTGGTGCACCTTAAATGTGTATTCTTTATAAATCATTTTTAGTCTCCAAAGGAATAAAACTGGCTGCAGAGAACTAACCTAAACTCTATTCAGTGACCAAAACACATCTAAACTGATTTAATATGACCCACTGAGGAAATTCAAAATGCTTGTAACATGCAACATTCTCTAATTAAAGGTAATTAAAAAAAAAAAAAACAGGCCAATTGTTCAGGCCCCATAAAGTGGAACAAGAGACCTCAGGATCTGAAAAATAAAATCAGCAATAAACTGAAATTTGGGTTTTAGGTTAGAACCTCAAAACTAAAATCAGCCTTGTAGGACCTCTATTTGACCTTGTATCCTGCCTCTGGATGGGCAAATGATGACCTCTAGGGCTGCTCTGACTCCTGGCCTGTGCCCTATGGCCCATGAGCTAAGAATGGCTTTTACATTTTTAAATGGTTATATAAGACTTTACAAAATATCCTCAATTTCACCCCTTGGTCCACAAACCCTAAAATATCTACTCTCTGACCCTTTAAGAAAAATTGTACCCATCCTGGCTGTAGAGCATCCCTGACAAGTGGTTTCCAGCCCTTCAGAACATGCCCACTTATCCCAAACTCCATGTTTGGTGCTGCAACTGAGTGGAGGGAAGAAGAGGTGGGAAATAAGACATGGGTTCAAATTCACTCATTGGCCATTAGATTCCGGGAAGGTCTTCTTGTGCTATCAGTAATACGATCAGTGAGGCCAACTTCTTAAGGTTGTGCAGATGAGTCAATAATATAAGGATAGTGCCTGGAACAAAAAAGTGTTCATTCCTCTTCCACAGCTTATTAAACATTTCATTAGTGACATTGAAACAATGTTGCTTCTCTGCTTAAAAATAAATCTGTCTCCCAACTAGTTAAGAATATAGTCATAAAACCTGACATTTTGTAACTGTTTTTTAAAACATGACCTCATGCATACCACTAAAGGGCTTTGACTTTTAAAAGCTGCAGGGTGCCTAACGTGCTCTCAGAAGCTGCTGTACCATAAAGACACAGAGAAGGAAACATTACTACAAGGGCCATCTGGTGAAACACGCTGCATCCAGCTTGTCATTTTCTAACACGAGAGATTTACTATCAGATTCTAAATGCCACCTCTTGATCAAGGTTCTAGTATGTGATCGTGATCTGTCCAATAAGAATAAAAATTACCTAAGCTATAATAACTTATTATCTTAAAAACTAGGGTGGAATTTTGCAGAAAAATTTCATGTATCAAAATGAAACAGGTTGAGCCCATTTTCATCTAATTGAAAAACACTAGTCTCTAAAAAAAATAGTGACGTTTGACTGTTTAATTATCCCCACAGGCTATTAATTCTCCCTCAGAGAAGGCATCGTGGTGTAAAGAGAAGAATGCTGGATTTACTGTCAGTCCTACTTTACTATTTTGCTATATTCTCACCTAGGGAAGATCACTTCACCCCTCCAGGTCAGTTTCTTAATGCAGTCAGTTGAGGAATGTAACACGTGCCTTCGCTGATGTGGCTCGTGACCATGACCATCGCAAAGATGGTGGTAACGACTTGGCCCAGACCCAGCTCCTTTACTTCACATTACTGTGAGCTCCCTCACTACGGTCTCCTTGTTTTCCTGTTATCTAAATGAATCCAACCCTTGTATCAGCTTTGTTTCTGTAGCGTCCCTGAGGACGGTTTCATACTTGTCCTCCTTGACTCAGAGCTGTGGCAGTTCCAGACTTTCTACTTAGGAAGGTCTTGGGGAATGAAAGGGAGTCCTAGGGAGCTTTTCTTAGCTCTCGCATAGCAAGCATGTATTTTAACTAGAATGTAAGTTTACCTGCAGTGGCCAAGAGTCGGAAGCCAGTGAAAGGAACCTGGGAACAAAAGCTCCCTCCCAAGTTCCCCTTTACACATCACTTCTGACATTGAAGGGACAGACTGAGTGACCTGTCCTAGACTCGTCTGGTCTTCCGATTCTACCACTGTGGACACACAGTTATTGATGGCCTCCTAGGTACCAGGACAGGGTGAATTTTCAAAGACCCTTCAAGCCCTGACTCCCTAAAATACAGCACGTAGGACCCCCAAGAGGCATTTCACTCAAGGGCTCATCATTGCCGCGTGTTCACAGCCATCTGCTTTATGGAACAAGAGATGGGGACCAGGAGGCAGGGCTCGATGTGCTGATTAGATTTAGCATTTATGTTTCCCTTGCTTTAGCTGTTTACCAATAATTATTTTGGTTACTTGGGAACAAATCTTATCATCGTAGGCAGGCAAAAGCAGACACAGATGGCTGTGAATTATGTCCAACAGGATCAGAATATGGCTCATAAATTTTAGCCTCTCAGCACCATGTAAATCAGCACTGAACCCTTGGAGAGAGTGAGAGGGCAGAGAAAGCTGAGACGGAAAAGGAGCCAGGAAGAACAGGGAAAGCACATACGCCATCACCAAAATCACAGCGATGACCAGCCCAGGGTTAGTAAGCTGTCTCAAGATCTTTGCCATCCAGCTCGGGAAATCATGTTCCAGTGTCTCTCCAATGACTTCAAACATCCTATTTTTGCCACTGGAGGGAAAAAAAGAGAGAAGTGTATTTAAAATGTATGGAAAACTGTGTTTACAGTAAAACACACACACACACACACACACACACACACACACACCTACAGGCAACCTTTTGCAAACACTGCCTAAGTACTCTTTCAGATTGGGAATCTGATGTTTTACTCTAATTCCTGATAGTTATCTCATATTGTCAACACATGAATAAGATATGATACATTTTATCCCAACATAAACACAATCAGAGCACGTAGGAAATTCATCACAGTACTGGGAGACACATTTTAAGGGCTGCATTTCTAAGATTTTGATAGAAATATGTTTTATAAATAACTCATTAGTCTTCCCCTTGGCCAACTCTTTTCGTAGGAGAATACTCTCTTTGGGTTGAACAAACAACACACTCAGTTTTTCTTTTAGCCTTGCAATGAGCACCAGGAATGGCATAACAGAATCAAACCCATAAAGAATCCAGTACACCCTTCCATGCGATAGACGCTGTCTCGTTCTCCACCGAACCTCTTTCATGAGACCTATTAATAGGTAATGACACTGAATGCTGAGCCCTCTCTTTCTCAGTATTTCTTCTGGACAGGTCTTAAAAGTGCCAACTCAGTTCCACCATTAGGAACATAAAATAAGAACAGAAGGATAAATAAGTCTTAAAAGCAAAGGTCCTAAATGGGCTTGTTCTCAGGCTATTAAAATAAGACCCAAACCCTACAAACTAGAAAAATGAAAGCAGATATCTGTCTTAACTTAGTACATAATATTAAAATTATAAAGTAATATCCATCCTGCTAAGTTATCTTTGTTATGCATTTTGATTTTACTGTGGAAATATGTTATTTTCAGAAAAGATGAGAGGTTGTTTATCATCAAGTTTTATATATCATCAGAATAAAACTTGGCCTAACATTTAATATACTATTTTGGATTTACTTCTTTTTCATCTTTAAACATTCTCAATTACTAAATGATCATGATCCACAAAGTCCAGATCAATGTTTATTCTCATGAACTAATAATGTCTTTCAATAAATTAAGACCGACTCCAAGTATTTTGTTAGGAGTTGCTGGACTACAGAAGTATAAAGTTGGCTTCGCAAATTATAGATCTACACACTAGTTACAAAAAACATATGATATGTAAAGGAGAATGAAGTTGATGGATAATTTAAGGTTATATCAACTTATTCCACTAAAGTTTCTTCATCTATTCGAACTGACCATCCTCCGAGCCATATGGGATACAGCCAGCATTAGAAGTTAAGCAAGGAAGAGAGAAGATCAGGCAATCTCCCCTCCCTGCTCCAGGCTGTCCAGCTGTGCTAATGAATGTGGTTAGAGTGGGGGGACTGGAATTTTACAGAATAATCCCTACCCATAAAAGTCTTCTCTGCATCACAGCATGTCTCAAATGCAAAGTTATTGGCAACTCTGGGGACTCTCAGATAACTTTTCTGGATCAGGTCTCTAATCAAGAATCGCTCTCTCTTAATTTTACACAAACTGTAGAAGCATCTATAAATCTTTGGCAATCCCTTTTGCCAACTGGTTAGCCAACATATGCCCCTTCACAGGATTCCCAGGCAGACTTTCCAGGCTACTGTGACTATACAGCATTTACCCTGTAGTTTTCCTGTAGCTACACCTGCTCCACCCTAGTTAGAACGGTCTGTGAGCAGGCCTGTCTACCCAGTCAGACTGAGAGCTCCACAGGACCAGAATCTATGCCCAACTTAACCCCACATCTCACCTAGTGTTTAGTGCACAGTAAGAAGTCATTATGCACTCATTAATTCAAGTTATTGGCTAACATTCTACTGGGTTCTGGACTCATAGAGATGAAAATATTCCCAACCTCTAGAAGTCAGCTACACTATTAAGAAAAATAGTCACATAGAGTAGAACTGAAAATAAGTAATGTGATAACAGTGTCACAATGTAATATAAACCTAAACATATTGTATGATCCCAGTTATTGTTCAAATCTATATAAAAGGAAAACTAGAATACAAAATGTCAAAATGTTGAGAGTTGTTATTTCAGGGCTTCATGGGTTATGGGTAGTGTTTATTTTCCTGTGAAAATGTTTCCACAATTCCCAGGTTTTCTAGTACAAACACATAACACCTTTGCAATAGGATGAAAATGCATAAAAACATAATTACCATAATGTTGGCAGAGAGAGGTATGAAACCTATAAAACTAGAAATTGTTCATGTTATTAGTGAGGGGCTGGGAGAGAAATATCAAGTGTCAGGAAATATGGTGGAGCGATTAGAATTTTCTTCATCTGAACACCAGAGAAATCGTTTTTTAAATTACTGAACTCTTTAAAGTAAATCACTAAATAGTGTACTAAAATAATTTGGGGGGAGATTCTCTCTCCCTAACCAGCTCTTGTGAAAACAGAACAAGCCAAACGATCTCATCAAATTGCTTTGCAGAATGGCTCTTCTAAGGCATCACAGCCGCCGTACCCCAAAACACGCCTACATCTAGGAGCAGCTGGCTGGCACGGTGGTGTCTCCGTCATCCCACTGCAGGTGCATGTCGGCCTACTGGCTGCCTACCCAGGGACGAGGAAGGGTCAGACAGCCTTCACTCGGCAGGCTGGGCAAGCCACCTCAAACTCAGGGTCCCTAAGGGTGGCAAGTCATGAAGCTCCTTCTATGACATGGTCTTTCTACTTATTTCTAGGGCTGAACAACCCTTGTAAGCTTTTGAGTCCAAACAAATTAAAAAGTATACATTTCTTTGCCCCTAAAATGAGAAAACTGACAAGGAAAAAAAACTCTGTAAATAGAATAGAGATAACTTCTTCCCTAATACTTTATTAAAAATATTTAAATTTTCTTGATCTCAAAATAGTGATATATAGTTAGTAATTTTGTCTAAGTGTGCCATTAGAAAATACTTGGTCATAAATCATTCATTAAAATCATGGTAACCCATATAGAGGTGGAGGCAGAGGAGTTAGAGCTCAAAAATAAAAAAATTCTGCACTCACTGTACATGTTTAGCTCAATGATATTTTTAATGTGAATGTACCTATATATGTTCCTTTTCTATGTTTTTCTGAAAAGGATCAATTTCCAATTAAAGAGTTAAAAAGCACACCTAAAACTTACCCTGGATATTTAGCTGTGTGGATAATTAATAGTTAACTGGCCCTGGCTGGTGTGGTTTGGTGGACTGAGCAAGGGCTACAAACCAAAGGGTCACAAGTTTGATTCCCATCAGAACACAGGCCTGGGTTGTGGGCCAGGTCCCTAATAAGGGATGTGCAGGAAGCAACCACACATTGATATTTTTCTACTGCTCTTTCTCCTTCCCTTCCCCTCTTTCTAAAAATAAATGAATAAAATGTTTTTAAAAAAAACAGTAAACTGAAGCCTCTGCATGTCTTATCTCTTGAACTTTGTACTCTGAAATTTATCCAGGATTTATTAACACCCTCAAGACTGCAATTTCATATTCAGTCTCCAGATGTCACTCTCTGCATTATTTATTTCAGCCCACTGGAACGGGGGTTGTGGGGAGAATGAACAGGACTTGTCAACATCGGCTTCCTGAATTGACAGAACTCTGGCTGTTTTTGCCCTATCTGCTGGCTTAAGATTTTCTTTCTTGTCCAATAAAGCAATAATAATTTGAACAATAGTGAAAATACCTTTTTTATAATTAAGTCAAAGGGCAACAAATCTTTTGACTTGAATTTAGTAACTTGGGTCTGATAGCATGATGCGTAAGTTATATGTGGCCAACTTTACATCACGGTTGTCATTCACATGGCTTTTCACACTTATATTTTCTTTACTAAAAAGAATAAATAACTCAAGTGTATGCTGCTCAGTGACTCAACATGCAGAGATTTGGGAGACTTGTGGTAGATTCATCCCTTTCTGGAATGAAATCTCAATCTCCCACATCCTGGGGACTCTACCTCCTTGATGAATGTCAGAGAGAGAACTATGTCATAGAGAACCACAGAAAGTACACTTCCAGTTTGGATCAAAGGGGCTTCTGCACTCTTTGTTACTGCTTGAGTGATACATCCTTGTTATTTAAGGAGAATATATGGGAGAAACAGCTTTAATATTGTACAGGCATATAGAATTTTGGATTATAAACTGTGAAATCTGCTTTATATTACTATCTAATAATGATCCATGTCCTAAGTAGCATGGGGATAGTATACTATATTTATTTATTTTTATATTTTACTTTTTCAATATTTTGGTCCACATGAAACATAGCAATGGCTTCAAATGTCTGGATGTGAAGGCCTAGCATCAGGAAAGCGTTCACAGCTAGTCTAGCTCTTTGCTGTCTCCTTATATGGAAATAGCTCAGATTAATTGTCCATATGTTACCCAGGCAGAGCCTGGACCCATTAAATTGTTTCCCCTTTTGTGATTCCCAAATAAGAAAATAGATGGAATCTCCATGACATAGAATGAACCTGGATACCCAAAGGATCTTACCCTACATACTAAAATGCCATTCTTTGAAAAAAAAATAATAAGCATACAATGATGGACCATTCTTACTTCTATGCCTGAAAGAAATCTATGCCCGAATGGAATTTCAAAGACAAGAACCTGAAAGGGCCACAGTCAAAAGATGGCGGAAGGGATACGATCATGTACAGGACGGGCATGGTGGACAGGAAGAGGATGAGCAAGAGCATGCCCAGGTAGAAATTATTCGATCTGGAAGCCTTGAAGACTCTGGCCTCGGGAACGTTGCAGCACATCACGGCCCAGCCCTGGAAGTACATGGATGTGTGGAGTCGAAGGATATTGATGCCCGGGAGGCTGGGAGCAAAGAAAGAGCCCATCCTAGAAAGGAAAACAGAACTCCGATCAACTCAGTCTTCACGCCAGAACAAGGCCACGCAGCCCCTGTTTATTTCACATCATGCTTACCAGCCAAGGGCAGACAATGTATTGTCAGCTTCAACCACACAAGTCCTTTTTATAAATAAGTGTCACTAATCTACTTCCATCTTCTGTACACACTTTGCCAACTCCTCATTATTATAGGTATTATACACATAATTTCTTCATAGAAGTTACGTAGATCATTAATCATATCTACTATCATTAGTAAATTTAAATTACAACACAGTAAACTATACACGTATTACATTTGTGTTCTTTCTGTTTTTTACTTTTAAAATAAACAATTTCCCTAGTACTCATATTATTGATTAATATAGCCAAAAATTAACTTTTTAATAATTGATCCTTAAACCACTCATTCTATTCAAATGAACTGCACATTTGGATTAATTACTTTTGTCATGGCTAATGAATTTTTGTGTAATAAAAGAAGAAAAAATTAAGCCTTTCTTTTTCTGTTGCTGCTTTCTCCTTGTAGCTGCTGTGGTGTTCTAGAGCTGAAGAGAATGATGTATTTGTGTCTAATATGCTGTGTTTTGCTGGGGTCCTGCAGCAAGCTTTATGTGTTTTTAAGGTGAAAATTCAACACATCATTTAATTTAGTTCATCTGTTTATATTTTTACTTTATTTTGTCCTGGAAATCCACTGCTTTGTACATCAGACTTAGAAAAAGTATTTTTAAATGCTATTTTTAAACAAGAGCTACTTTGGTGAAGTCATTCTTACTTGATGGCTTCATTGGTTTTTGCAACAAAATACATTTAAATTTTCTCTGATGAGAACATCCATTGGTACCATAAAACCAAATTAATAGCAATTAATTAGTCCAAACCCAGAGGTTTTAGATATTACTTATTTTTGAAATTTAAACAAAATCCTATTTTTAAAACTGTCCCAACTGTAGTAAAGCTCTCAATATTTTTAATTAGGATGAACATTTTAACCAATCCATTGCAAATTTTGGTATATTATTTGGGTGGGGGGGAGTTCAATTAGAAGAAGAAATTAGTTTTTGCTATAACTGAACTTGTGCAACCCAACATTAAACTGTTTCATTGAAAAGTGGAGTCTTGTCACAGTTCAGGTTGTCTAGTTGATAGGATGCTACACAACAAATCTGAATGATATTTAAACATGCTGAATTGACCAAAAATATTATAGGAAGGTAAGCTATCTTTTTTAAAAATGGTATAGATTTTAGGTGACGATGCTCTGCCCATGAAGGTTTATCAGTGGTTTGAGATGTCAATACTGGGGGAGGCTGTTCATGTACATGGGAAGGGGTATACAAGGGCTTTGCACTTTCTACCCAATTTTCTTGTGAATCTAAAACTTCTCTGAGGTATAAACTTTATTAATTAAAAAGACTGGAGCATAAACTTTAGAATAACACAGTGTTTCTTGTTTACAGAACAGCAAGAGAGAACTTGGAACCCCAAAATGTGACTGAGTGAGTGAGTGAGTGAGTGAGTGAGTGAGAGTCACAGATGAGGGTCAGAATCACAAAGCACTGGACTCTGTCCCCAAGTGCTAATATTCATCATGAGATGTGCTTCTGAATGATGATGCTCTAGCCCTCCTAAAAGTCAGGTTGGCCATGCAATTTTTTTTCTGGCAACTAAATTTTTTTAAAAATGGGGGTATCTCACTGCTGGGTGGAAACTCTAAGGGCCCTGTGTGGTTTTGCTCTCTTTCCTCTCTGTTGCTCTGACCAGCAATGTTCCAGGTGGATCCTGCTCAGCCTGTCTAGGACTACAAGTAAGGGCAACTTACAAGAGCAGAGCCTCTATCAACCCCCATGAGACCTTCAGAATAAATAAGTAAGCATTTCCTTTTGTATGATTTGGGGCTGTGTTTCATTGCTACACAACCCAGTCTGTCCTGGGACATAATTTTGTACATAATTCAAGATCAAGACTTGCCCAAAGTCACATATATTTGCACATATACATATCCATGCATCATTTGTATGCATATATATGTATACACATATGTATGTGCATCTGTGGCATTTATTTATCTGTAGATAAATGAATTCAAAATTTTCAAAATGACTATCGCATAGGCATTTTGAACAAATGACACAAGAGCCATAACCTAGAAAAACAGGTCCTGGCACAGCGATATCTGAACCTTAATGCTCACCCCATCTTTGTTCAGGACTCACTGAACAGCGTGGATCACTAAGTCCCTTACCCAGACTTGATCCCATCATCTGTCAGACAAAGATCATTGTAATACCTGAGCTTGATAAAATGCTTTTATTCCAAGAAGATCAAAGCAAATGAAAGTGTCTTTTATTTAGCTCTTCTTATTACTCCAGTGACATGGTATGTGTCAGGTAAATTATTCACGTGTGATCAACTGAGAAAATGAGGTACCCAGAGATGACGAGACTGGCTGGCTGGTGCGCAATGAGACAGTGTCGGAGCCATGTCCAAACCCATCTTCTGTCTCACTGTGTGTCCTCTGCTGTCTCTACACCCTACTGTGACCGAGAGAATCCATGCTTTCCCCATTTAAAAGCATGATTACAAAAGTCTATGCTGTCCATTTTAAAAATAAATGTGTAATACAATGATTTACTGGTCATTTTATCCCATTCAAAACAAAATGGATTTTTACCTATAAATGTTTCACCTTAATAATTAGTGTAAGAAACCTCCACTACTTAGGAAGTCCTAAAGCAGCAACGTCTCCAGTCACAAACTAATGGCAAATGGATACAAGTCACCATACTCTTGATTGTAGCAGATGGCCAAACTCAGTTTTCAGATACTCATGCCCCAAGAAACCATAGATGACCATGTATGGGTACCGTTGTGCAGGAGAGTTTACTAACATTAGATTATACTGCACTCAACTCCCTCACCAAGTTTCTGGGAGTTAAGAAAAGAGAATTTTTACAAAGTGTGTACCTACAGGTGAGCAACAGCTCTTTTGCTTCTAGAACACTGGTAAGTGTCTATCTTTGTACACTCAAAAAGCACAGTCACTCTCTAGAGTCTTCAGCCAAATCAGAAGCCAGACCTGATCAATCGCTGAAGGATGAATACATAGAAAGTGGCAGTGCAGTGGTACTGCAGAGATGTTCTACTGGATCTGTCTGTGAGAAAACTGGAGGTTTGTAGGTATTTAAGGATGTTAACAGGAACAATGGTGTTATGCAGAAACAGTTGGAAAATCACAAGTGAAACCGATCAGGAAAGCCATTACAACAGCTCTCCTGATAATGAAAATGAATTTCGAGGCAAATCTGTGGTCTAAATTCTGAAAGAACAAAAAAGAGACATGTAACATATGGCTGCACAAATGGCACCCTCCAGGCTTGAGGGATTTATGGCACTGTGCAAGAGCCAGGGAGTTTTCAAACTGATATAGCACAGTGGTTTCTCATTATCCCAGGAGTGATGTTAGCCACTTTTCTGCCATGACAGCAGAATCCTCTCCAGGAAATGAGAGATCCAGAACCCTCAGAAGCGGCTTCCTTTACTCTCTGTTAGTAGTCATATGTGGGGCCACCTTGACTTTCCTCCCTGCTTGGAGAATTAAGGATGCATTTCACTCCTTCATGACACTCTGTACACAGGAGCTATATCTTTCAAATTTTGCCAAGAAGTACACTTTAAAATATATCTTACAATAGCTAATCTTTTTATAGTCTTTTCTTCACATTGACTGATCTAATGAGGCCCAGGAATTTGACGGGCCCCATGGAAGGACAAGAGGGCCTTTGACTGTATGGCCTTTATGTTACTAAAACAAAATAATTTTAACATTTGCAGAGAGGTCCAGCTTCACAGAGGTTTAACAATTCAGGCCAGCTGGGGTTGAAAGATTTGAGTAACATAGGATGCTTGTGCAAAAACTGAACCGAGTAACTAGTCCCTGTATATCAGACAAGAGTGTGGTCCTATGTTAGACATGTACTAACAAGATAGAGAAGCTCGCTGTAACTGCTTGTGGGTTGGGCTGTTTTAGCAAAGAGTGACAGATTTCTAAGACACATGGTCCCCAGATGAATTGCACACTGTGATTCCGTTTTTAAACTCAAAAACAGTTTCTGCTGTACCAACTCATCTTAACCTGTCAAGGTTCACAGGGAGAATGTTTTCATTTAATAAAAGATATGACAATTCTTTGAACATCAAAAGGAATAATTCTGGTGTGCAAATGACCCTGTGAAACAAGTTCCAAAATAAAGATTCTATTTTTAACTTGATCTTCCTACCATACATGTTTCATCTCTATAAACTATTGGATTTGGTAACATACTAGTTTTTAAAGTAACTATAAGTTGTATTTTAAATATATTCAATAGTGATAATGAGATAAAGTTTCTCAGAGAGACCTCACATAAATTTATTTCATACCTCACATGTAGTAACGTGATCATTAATGTTTCGCTGTTGCACTCTAGTGTTACAGAATATAAAATATAAAACGCCTTTGAATAATATACCAACCAGCACATAGATGCCCCATCGTTTGATGAAGAAGTGCTCTACAAAACAGGCAGATGCCTTTGAGAACCAAGATTGAAGATTTGAAAAAGAAAAAAGCTGACTACTCATAGCCATCCACTCTGCAGAGGTGGGTGCTGACTTGGACACAGAGTGTGGTCTCCTCCGACACTGGGCCACAGCGCTTTATGCAACAATGACCTTGGAGGCCTCCCCAGAAGTGGTACACTACCCCACGGCTGGCCTACCAGATCATGCCTTGGTTGAAGATGAGAGCGAGGACGTTGCCACTGATATCAAATTCGGTGTATGACGGCTAGAAGAGACACAGACATTCATTGGATTAGTATCTCAAAGGGTGAATATTGAAAGCCAAGCATTTCATGTTTCTGCATAGGTGTGGCTACGCTCTCAACTACTTTCTTGTAGCAACAATACCAGAATCATCAATATAACAAATAATTAGCAATAAACAAAATAGTGAAGCACTCTTTTAACATAGTAAGACTCATTTTAAAATGCCGTGCAAGTGTGGTAAGAAAGGCTCTTACACGCTGCTGGGGAAAGTAAATATCAAAACAGCCCTTTAGAAAAGCAATTTGATGATACATATTAAAAGCTTTGAAAACTTCATCATCGTTGACCCTGTTAACTCTACTTCTTGAAATTTGTTTTAACAAAGTAATCTTAAATGTTGAAAAATTTGAACAAGCAGAGATAAAATTATCTAAACGTCTAACATTGGTTAAGTCAGAACAATACACATTGATTAAGTAAATATAGCCAATGATGAAAGTGCTATAGACTTGTATATTATGACTTATAACTAATTATATCACTGTTCAAAGAATATTTACATACACAAGAGAAAACTATATATATACATTTTTTAATTTATTGATTTGAGAGAGAAACATTAATTTGTTGCTCCACTTATTTATGCATTCTTCAGTTGATTCTTGCATGTGCCCTGACCTGGGATCGAACTCACAACCTTAGCACATGAGCACAACACACTGTAACCAACCGAGCTACCTAGCCAGGGTCAAAAAAAACTATGTTAACATTAAACAAAAAATACATAAAATTATACATTCATTAATTTTAGCAACTTCATGTGAAACTATGCATAAAGAATACAGATGAAAGTATTGGCCAAAATTGATAGCTATTTTTATGTCGGTGATAGATTTTCCTCAAGTTTTGCAGATTGCAAAATATTTTCAATAAAAATATGTAAATTTTTACAATAAAGTAAATGTAGAGAAGTACAAGACAAGTTAAAGAGGTTTTTTACTCAATGTGCAGTGTGTGTCTCCTAGACACGACCAACTTGCTTGTGGCAGCGGGGCCAGGCTGTTCTTTGTGCGGACGGGCCATCAGTAGGAACTGAGGTACGTGTCTGTCCTAGGGTGGCCCGTCCAAAGGCTTCCTGGTGACATAGTAGGCATTTTAGAAGGAAAGCTTCTATTAATGGGATTAATGCTAATGAGCAAAGGCAAAAAATTCTGCTTCTAATTAGTATAAAATAGAGAATAGTCAGGTAGGAGACTGTGTAAATGACACTAAGAGAACAGAAAAAAATAGAAAGTGAGAATACCAAGAGGCCAAGAGGGTGGCAGGTCTTATCACCGTCCCAAACCCTGACATATGAATGTGTGACTTCAGACCACATGTAGCCTCATAATAACTCCCTCCACGACATGCACACACAACACATACACAACGGAGGCCAAACGTGCCTCTGTTCTCCCCAAACCAAAGAACCCAAGCATATATTTGTAAGAAGATAGAACAGGTCTCTGATTTGGAACTCCAACAAAATTATTACAATATTCGACTGCTTTACTCAGGAATTCTTGAATCTAGGTCAACTTCATCACCTTCACGAAAAGCAGTGGTACTCTCCTAGTCAACTGAAATACATGGGCAATGTGTCTCATTAACCGATTCAAGAAGAAACCAGCAATAATGGCATAATAAGAATGGTTAAATATCATGAAAAAATGATATGGAATGAAATAATATGTAGCCCTATTACATAAGGCAAGACAAAGATAACCTAGATGATTTCACTCAAGATACGGCTAAAATATATACAAAGCATTTCACTCACTTGTCAAATTATTTAAACCCGTAAAATTTATAAAAGGCAAAAAGAAAATTTTTATTGACAGTTTTTATCCTGAAGTCAACAATAAAAACAAATGTAGCCCCCATGGAGAAAAATAAATTACTTCTAATCACGAATGACATTAATTCTGAGTCTTTTCTGCTTCCCCAGGAGCTCTTTGCTCTGGACCATCTATTCTTCCCTCCTGAAGCCCTGTGTGGTCACAGAACACATCTGACAAATGCCCAGCCAGGTGACCTGACACATCTGTGGACTTAGAGCAGGTCTGCTCTCTGTCCGTTCCAAAATCAGACCTCACACTTTGGCCTTAGAATACCATCATGACTCAGCCCGCCAAATTACAGAAAATGAAAAAAAACCCAACCTTTCAGAAGTGCTTTATTCTTACGAGCACACAAACCTCTTAAAGGTCATTTGAGATAAGCTATTTTTATTACCAGGTGACTAAAAAAGCCCAAAGAACAGCCAGGGAACCCCTGCCTCTGTCTGCAGCAGGGGCATCTGAAGGAATGAATGTTTCGATGCACAAACTGACCCCATGCAGATGCAGGGAATAGGGCAGCCCTGCTGTAGCAGGTGATTTTGTGATGCAGGGATGGAGCCCTGAGGATAAGGCTGCCCCACCACTTCCTAGCTGGGTGAACTGGGCCAGTCGCTCATCTCTTTAGGCCTCAGTTTCCTCACAGATAAATTTATGAAACCAATTAGACTGGGGGTTGGCACACCATGGCCCATGATCCAAATCTGGATTGCCGTCTGTTTTTGTAAATAAAGTTTTATTAGAATACGGCTACATTCATTCATTTATGTATTTCCTGTAGCTGTTTGGGACTAAAGCAAGAAAGTTTAGCAGTTACAATGAAGCCATATGGCTTGCTGAAAGAAAAACAAAACAAAGCCTACTTTCCTCTACTACTGCATTCTATCACAATACTTCTGACACAGGTGTGAGGATTCCCCGTGCCCCATACCAAGCATTTCTCCAGTTCTCTGTAGACATCAGCTGGATGTCTACAATTTAATCAATTATGACACTAAGTGTCTAGAGTCAGGGCAAGACCCACAGGTTAAGGTCTCAGTTCACAAGGTACCTGTCATAAGTTCAGCTTGTCACCTGTGCTGATTGGCTATAAATTGAAGATTCCCACAACTGATTTGTTGATTTTCTAGAACAACTTATGAAACTGAGGAAAAACAGTTTACTTACTAGATTTCTGGTATATTACATGAGGAGACATCTCAGAAACAGCCAATGGAAGAGATGCACAGGGAAAGGCATGTGCAAAGGGGCACAGAGGTTCCATGCCCGCTCCTGGGGCACCTCCCTCCCGGCACCTCCGTATTTGCAGCAACCCAGAAGCTCTCTGAACCCCACAGTTCCGGGAATTTCATGCAGACTTCACGAATAGGCATCATCAACTATTAACTAACTCGTCCTCCAGCCCCTCTGCTCCACCTGGAGGATGGGGGAAGAAACTGAAAATCTCAAGCTTCTAATCATGGCTTGGACTTTCTGGTGACCAGCCCCCATCCTGAAGCTACCCAAGTCCATCAAGAGTTGCTTCATTAGAACCAAAAACAACCTATCACGCAAAAAGTTCCAAGGAATGTAGGAGCTCTGTGTCAGGAACTATGTCAAAGACCAAATGTTAGAGCAAAAGACATTCCTAGCACCTTTATTGCTTAGGAAACTACAAATGTATTAGGAGCTTGGAACGAACACCAAAATAGATATGTCTCATTATATCGCAGTAGCACACTGGCTAGAGCTAAAGCATTATGCAGCCCCTCATAAAGAAAGTTTGACAGCTTCTAAACAGAATAATTTCTAAAATCCCATTCTAATCTAAAATATATAATTGGTTGGAGCTTAGACCCAGGTATTAAAGAATTGCTTTTCTGTACACACCTTTGAAATGGAATTTAATACTGCAGACATGAAACTCAGAAACTCCCACTATAAAAATAAGACAAATGTAAGACATCAACCCACACCCACACACACGCAGTATAAAATTCAATACTGATTCTTTCAGAGGTGGATTTTTTAAGCATGTGATTTAATTTCAGTTTAAAATTTTTAAGCAGTATTTTAATAATAATTGTGCAAATCAATTTACAATGTGTTTGTTTAATTGCCTCTAAAATCTAAGAAGCTTAAAGGAAAGTGATGTTTAGGAAGAAAGGTTTTTCTTGAAATCTGAGATAATAAAATGATTCAAATGGGATAACATATAATAAACTTACTAATGAGATTTTTAAGGGTCAGCAACCAAGGAGCCCATTTGCTATTGGGCTGAGGTCCACAGTAGTCAAAGGATGGGAAACCATCTTGTTTTCTGTTTAGACCTTTGTTTGCAGTGGGCTAGTCAGTCATTGACCCAGAGGGAAGACATACAGCACTGTTGGACTAAAGAGCCTGGGAAAGCCCATTCTCTCTCTGCAAGCTTAGTTATTTGGGGAAGGCCATCAACATATGAATATTGTGAAATAAAATTCAGGATCTCAGAGAGAATTCTGTTATTGCTATGACCTGCCTGACTCTCTTCATGCAAATCTCATTTCCCACATTTGGTACCACTGTGTCTCGAGCTGCAGGCTGGCCTGCTTGGGGCTCTAAGGCAATGGTTTGCAAGTGTGGTCCCCAGGCCAGAAGCAACAACTTTACCTGGCAACCTGAGAATAAATTCTGGGGGCCGACCTAGAGCTGCTGAACCAGAGATCCTGTGTTTCCACCTTCCATCTAGGGGTTCTGGTTTGTGCTCATATTTGAGAACCACTGATCTTGGACAAATCCTAACCTCATCTTCCAGAATGATTTCAACACCTGGAGGATTTTCACTTCAATCCACTTGCCTGTAGACAGATTCTGTCCAATATTCAAGTGCAACCTTCATAAGCACTTTGTGTTGTCCCTTCTCCCATGTTCTCAACCCTTTATGGGATACCCATGACTTCTTACTGATTCTTTCCCATGCCATCTTCCTGGACTTCTAAATAATCTCTCCTTCCTAGCTAGAGAACATCAGTTTGTCTTCAAATTCTATATCCCAATTTTTCCTGCTAACTCCATTCTACTGCAAGTGACCTGGCTAAGCCTGGGAGCACCTTGAATTACAAATGCCATAGATTGGCTCAAGAATTAGTCACGATGTAGCAGATTCCTTGAAATTTTAAGGGTTAAGCATTGCAGTGAATATCAACATGATGAAAATCTAGTTGATGGCTTGGAAGCTGATCAGACATGGTTTTGTGTCTTAGCTCCAAAACCGACCAGCCATATATATAATTATAGTCTATTCATGTATAGAATATCACACAACCATTTAAAAATTATATAATAAAAGAAGCATTAACAGGATAGGAAAATGGTCACTTAGGTGAAAAGGGCACTAGTCATTAACTATATGTTTTTACAAAAAGCTATTTTATATATTTAATAATATATAATATACATTTATAATATGTACATTTAAATATGTTTATAAAAATCTGCAATGAATATAAAACACTTGTTTATCTATATACAAATAAATGCTACTACTATGTGATTTAAATAATCCAAATAAGTACTTTTATGAATGGTGGGATTACCTGTGATTTTTATTTTCATACTTAACTCACTCTGAATTTTCCATATGTTCTGTTCTCTGCCTGCACTGCCCAAATCTTCCAGCTGCTGGGCCCTGTCTTATACCTGTCCCTACACTGAGAAATGCTTTCTTCCATGGCAGTCTTTTGAATTTTCTCATCATCCTTCAAGACTTGGCTCAAATGTCTCTTCCTCAGTCATGTCTGCGGTTCTATTGACCTCTTCCCTTCCCTTCCCTTCCCTTCCCAAAGTTGTATAAAGGGTTGGTTTCCCCTATAGCATTTACATTTTTTTTATCTGTATTGACAATGGGAGCTTGCAAGATTAAAGAGCGGAGAAGAGTGTGAGACACTGCTAAATGAATAAAACTGAAGTGGGCAGTGGTTTTCAGCTCCAGCCAATTTCTCCCATTGGGAATATGGGTCTAATATTTCCAGGCCTTCTAATATATTAAGAAAAGATATAAATCCATATTTTTAAATGGAAATCTACCAGTTTTAAAATACTAGCTCATTAAAGACAAAAACAAAATAAAACATAAAACCACTCTTCAGACCAGAGGAAAAAATATCTGTAAGTTGAATTGAGCATGCAGGCCCAAGTTTGTAGTCTCTCCTCAGGCTTACATCTAGGTATCATCCCCTTATCATCCAACACAGAGGTTTGCTCCTAATGTTTCACACCCAGCAGGCATTCAATTGTGTAAGCTGCCCATTTGGTGGGGAAACGATAATCAGATCCATATCAAATATTCATCATTCAATCTTAGAGTTTTAAAACTTGTTTCAATGCTGAACTTCTCTCCGAAGACCTTAGGAAAGGTAACATGGAAGAAAATTCTTCCTCTATGACCTAAAACAGGAACTTGTCTTTTTTCTTGTACTAACTCAAGAGCACTGTCAGCATTCAATGAATAATAAATTAGTCATTGCATTATAGCTTTTATGCGCCCAGCTCATGTTGTACTGACTTCATATTTGAAGCAAAATGTTCGAGCACTTAAGAAGAAATTGGTAAGGGATAATAGGGCAAGCAATAGTCTAACAAAAAAAAAGTTGGGGGGGCATTTTTGTGTCTTCTTCAGAAAAGCTGAATCAGGCAAGCAAAACAGAAATGAAACCAAGCCAGCTGAATACCTCATAGGAGGGAGCAACATAACAGTCTCCTGGATCTATAGCATTACCTCATTGTTGTCCACCAAAGAGCATTACCTAACTGCTCTGGGATCATCCAAGAGCCATTTTCACTGAGGGTGATAGAGATGACCTCAGAAAAGGTATGATCTCAAAGTCAGATAGCCAAGCAGAGAATTTACTCTGTAGTCTTGAAAGCAGTTCTGAATATTGGATTTGTCCTGAGACTTAGGGCATGAGATAGGAAGGAGCTCGGCAGTCAGGGATATATATTCAGTAGTGAGAAGAGAAACATCATTGGCTCAAGAATACTAAGCCAGAGCCCATGCCATGGACACATACCTGGAAGCAAGCAGCATTCTGTCAATGGATGGTGTTGCCCTGATGGTGCTAGAATGTGGAGGTTCAACATTGAACCCACCAGTCAACACCTAATTCTTGCCATGTGACAAGCATAGTTCTAAGCACAGAGGTCATAGAGGTCATAGTTCTAAGCATAGAGGTTTCTGTTACATAGAGCTTCCATTCTAGCAGAGGGAGACAGATAATAAGTGCTTTTTTAACAAAGAAATATCAAAGAGTTACATATCCTATGAAGAAAATAAAATAGTATGTTGAGAGCATCTGGTAGGCTGCATTAGAATGGAAGATCAGAAAAGAGTTCTAAGGAAGTGGTGCATTATCTGAGTTCTTAAAGACAAGAGGGAGTGAGCCATGCCAAATTCTAGGAATCAGCACCTCTGGAGGGAGGAACAGCTGGCAACAATGCAAGGAGCATCTCGTGTCTGAGCATCAGAAAGAATCCCAACATATATAGACTTTACAAAGGAAGAGCAAAAATAGTTAAGAGATAAGCTCAGAGGGAAAGAAAAAAAACAGATCATATAGGGTATGAAGGCCCAATACATAGATTTGGAATTCATTCTAAGTAAGCTACTGCAGGATTTTAAGCAAATGAATATGACCAACCACGCCCTCCCCCAACCAGGTTTCACTTCCCACGATAACCGATTTACTTGCAAAAGAGGAACAGTAGGCACTTGGAAGTGTGTTAGACCACAGAGTACTGGTATATATGCTCTACTTCCACTTTTGAACTTTGTGGGGTGACCTGGGGTTGAGCACAGAAGGTGCTCTGGTGATAATGTCAACACCAGTGGGGCTCAAAGAAACTTATGCTATTGTCATGGGAAAGGAAGCCAACTTGCTGGAATTCAAATCCACCACTTGCCAGAGCCCTATCAGCACACCAAGCCTTCCTCAAAGCTTCTTCAGCCACCACCCCCCAGCCGCTTGTGTCTCTGCTGAACTCTCAATAGATGCTGAGCTTTATGAAGTAAGCATCACGTTTTTTAATCCTTCTATCTCCCAGTGTACTGCACAGTGAATGGCCAGGATAAGTGTCTAAGGGTTTATTTAGCAGCATTCAAAGGCATTAATAGAATATGCAGCCCTGGCTGGTATGGCTCAGTGGATTGAGTGCCAACCTGCAAATCAAAGTGTTGCCAGTTCGATTCCCAGTCTAGAGCACATGCCTGGGTTGCAGGCCAGGTCCACAGTAGGGGTCACTCAAGAGGCAACCACACATTCTTGTTTTTCTCCTTCTCTTTCTCTCTCCTTTCCCCTCTGTCTAAAAATAAATAAATAAAATCTTTAAAAAGAGAAAAAAGAATATGCAGTTGACACCACCCATCCTGCCCTATTTATAGAAATGCCAGCAAACTTCATCAGGAAGGAGATAACTATGAGTCCAATATTTACTGAGCTGACCATCCATTGTTTTAGCCATTCTGTGCAAATTTATGAGAATATTGTGTAAGCCATGATACTCAAGTCCGGCCCCCTCTGAATTCACACTATTCTCGTTGGTCTTCATTTACAGTAGCCCCCCTTACCCACAGTTTTGCTTTCCACAGTTTCAATTATTTGTGGTCAATTGCAGTTCAAAAATACTAAGAGGAAAATTCTAGACATGAACAATTCATGTTTTAAACAGCCTGCTGTCTGAGTACTGTGATGAAATTTTGTACCACCTTGCTCTGTCCTGCTCGGGACATGAATCGTCACATTGCCCAGTGTCTGCAGACACTCCCCACTCTTTAGGCATGTAGTAGCCACCTGGGTTTTCATATCACTGTGGTATTGCAGCGCTTATGTTCAAATAACATGTTTATTTAACAATGGCCCCCAAAACAAGAGTAGTAATGCTGGCGATTCAGATATGCCCAAAAAAGCCAAAAAATGCTTCCACTAAGTAAAAAGGTATATATGTATGTATATGTGTATAGGAAAAATAACAGTACATATAACAGTACATATAGGATTAAGTATTATCTGTGGTTTCAGGCATCTATTGGGGGGTCTTCGAATATATTCTTTGAGGATAAGGGGGAACTGCAGTATTGACATCTAAAAGGGAGATCCCGCATCTAAATTCTGAGACGTCTTTTTCTTGCAGAGTATGTGTAAACAGTAAAGCACAAAAGATAATCTGATACGAGAAAAACGATGATCGTACTTACATAAACATATTCTAAATCCCAGCACCAGCAGTAATTGCAGAATCTCACAAAACATGCTCGAAGGAAGTCCCCGATCAGGATTGTGACATAGGTGGTCAAAACATCGGAAACGGTTAGCCGCACAAACTCCTGTTGAGATACCATCTGCATTAAAATTTGCATTTCTCTCTTTAAATGGTTCTAGTATTGACACCGAATTTGTCGTATTTCTAAATAGTATGAGCATGCAAACTGCAATTAATGGTAAAGAAACTAGCTTGAGACATCTAGCAAATAAAGAATGCTTCATCCTTATTTTATTTTGTCAAAAAATAATTATTTTCTGTTCCAAAATCACTGTATCAAAAGTCTTCTCACTGAGAAACCTTTATAAGCATGACATAAGAACCCCAAACAGGAAATGTTGGCCATACTGGAGTTTGAGATGTAACCAGGCAAACAGCAGTATTTATAAAGTTAAGGCAAACTTGGAAAAAGTACTTGCAGCCTAGATGATAGTACATTAGTTTTTCTAACACATTAAAAACTTTTACAAATCGGTATGCCTATAGATGGGTGACCCAACTAGGGAAAAAATGGCAAATGTTACAGATGAGAAATCCTCACAAGAAAATATACAATCAATTAAAACACTTGAAAAATGCTTAGACCCCATAATAATATAAATTAAAACAATGAGCTGTTGCTTCCCAGAGAGATAAATATTTTAAAAGAGGGTGGTGAAACAGGCATTGTCATAAACTGATGAAGTTAGACTCTCACAATGTTTGGGGAAAACTTGTGAAGATCCATCACATTTTATAGTGTGTGGAATTTGATCAAGGAAATCCACTTCTGTAAATGCATCCCATGGCAATATTAACAGAAGTGCAGAAATCAACATGTATAATTATGAAAATATTACTTCTTCCAGTTAAAAATTACAAACAAGTTAAATATGCTTCAGAGGAGATTAATTAAATAAAACAGGGTGTCTATACAACAGAATATTGTGAGCTCTTAAAGGAAACTGTTCCTGTGGTTATGAATGCACAACTATGTGAATATATTCAGGAATTCATTAAATTACATACTTTAAGTTTATGAAATGTATGGTATATGAATTGTTCTTCAACAATAAAGAACTTCATTGTTAATAAAGCTCTCAATAAAGTTCTATAAAAGTGCTAAAATGCTGTGCTGTAATATAATAATAAGAAAATTTTTTTAAATTTATAAAACAAGGTACATAATATGAACTCATTTGCTAACAAAAATCCTATGCGTGTATATGAATATGTATAAAATATATATGTGTGTATACATATATCTGTATATGCATGGAAAAGGTCTGGAAAATTAGGAACTGGCTACCTCAGTGGTGTGAACTTGAATCGATACGTGAAATGTGTGTGTTACGGGTTAGAGAGACAGTTCACTACTTCTTCATGAAACTCATATAACAATAGCAATAAATATAAGAGCATACATATAACCATACATTTTTTATCATGAGCATTTAATTCTGGTTTTCTTTTTCTTTTTATTCCTAAAACATGTGCCCTAAAAATGAAAGCACTAAGTATCTAATAAAACATAATTTTCCCAGAAATACTAGTGTTCTTCTATAATGTAAGAAGTTGGTTTTTATTACTAGCTACCTCTAAAATGACTAGGGAGGAAACATTTTCCCGCAGAGCAAAGGGCCACTTGACTAGCAACCGTCAAGTTAGCTTCCAGCCTCACACTTCAGAGTGGTGACTTCGGAATTCCGGGTACTCCCACCTTCACAGTTCTTTTCATATCCAAGTACCATCTGAAACACAGCTTACCTAATATTTCTTTTACAATATTTTATTTTAAAAATAATTGCTTCTATTATAAATAGATGCATATCACTGCCATAAACAGAACTTAACTGTAATATAAATACAATAAAAGCCAAAAATATAAAATAAAGAAAGTATCTTGGCATTAGTTTCCACCACATATTGTGCCTATCACAAAGGGCTTATAAGCAGGCAGTATGTTTTGGGAGGTTCGTCAAAGAGCAGGAGTGGGGACTGGAAAAAAAATGAAACAGACAAGGAGAAAAAGACTTTACCCAAGAGTGTGTTAATGCTGTCATACTGGGCCAGGTGGATCTTTCTGGGGACCCATTCCATACCCATATACTGTAAGCTTCAGAATTATCCACCCAAGAGCCAACCCATCAGCTCTCATTTCCATTAGTTTAGTATGGCCCTGTATGGTATGAATGCTCCACTAGGTGATCTCTGGGATAAGGGTAAGAATATGAGTACAGTTCAGCTGAGATGCTGTCAGGTAACAGCTACGTGCAGTTGTTTGCTGCAGCAACAGCTGGAGTAAAAAGGTGGGCCAAGAGAGTGGAACACTACTTCGTAATCTGAAAGCTTCTATATAAGCTGACTCCTGTCCAGCTCTCCATAATCTTCCTTGTATTGCTTTTCCCTCTTTCTTCTCCACTCCAGCCTCGGTGGCTTTCTTTCAGACCTAATACTCCACACTTCTTCAGGCTACAGGACCTTTTGCATGTAGCCTTAACTCAGTCCCTCTTACCTCAACTCATGACTCAGTCTGTACCAAAAAATATGCATCGCTGCATCATCACTAGTCTGGGGAAGTCTCTCTCATTTTGCTAACAAGGCAAACTTCCCTATAAGAAGTTCTCGGCTTCCATGCATTTCTTTATTATAGTGCTTTGTTGCCATTGTAAATTTGCAATTTGGCGTAATTATTTAATTAGCGGCTTTATTTCCCCCAAGAGATTATAATTTTCACAAGGGCAGAGAATGGTCCACCTTTGTTCCGTTGTACCCCTAGTATCCAGCACAATATCTGGCTCTTAGCATGCACTCAATATACCTGGAATGAATGTTGGAATGATGGTAAATTTCTCCAGTTACTTCTGGCCATAACTTTTCTCTTCTTTATTGTTATTCCCCTTTCCACTCCCCAGGCAATTTGAGTTCAGATTCAATTAACCAACATCAATGAGAAGTAGGCTATTTGGGATATTTTTAGTTTTCCACTGCCAGGTTGGGAAGATTTCCTCGGACAAAATTTGCAAGTATTTTTGAAGTTATTCCCTTCCTCCTAAGAATCCACATTCCAATTGTCGAAATTCTTTTTTTTTCCTAAGCAGTGTCCCAATTTTTATTATATAGCATAGGAGGATTCAAACATTATATTAAAATGTAAAAATACTTATTCATATACCATAGAAGGAGTATACTGCTTTACAAGAGAGGGAATCTCAAAAATGGTGGTATGGCCCTCCTCTGGGACATCATTCAGTCCCTGATCCAGCAAACTAGTAAGGATGGGAGCACTGTTTTCTCACGGGCTTCCTGTTCAGCCCTGAAGCTCACAGAAAACAGCTTCACACTGGTGATATTTAGTTAAAATGTCTGGGCAGGTTTGACCAGTAAACCTAAGAGAATCATAGAGATAAAGGGGAGACATTAGGCAAAGGACATCACAAAGGGCCTCAGACTGTAGAAATTCCATGACAGGAGTTTGGAGAGAATGTGTGGGTGCTAATCATGTCTCTGGGGGACAGTTCAGCACTACGGTCAAGAGCAAGAACTCTAATTCAAGTCTGCATGGCTCCACTTATTGCCTTCTTTTGGGGTGTTGAGCAAATTACCTTTCTAAGTCACAGTCTCCTCATCTACAAAATATACAGCTTATCTCAGTGGGTGATTTAATAATATGACTTATCTCAAAGGATGATGTAATATTCAAAAAGTTAGTGTTTCGCACACTAGATGCATTCAATAAATTGTTGTTCTCTTCAGCTGTAGGTTGCTTTCTCTCCCAGTTTAAAATGCAGACATCAGTACATAGCTTCAAATACCTGTTGCCCAAGAACAGGTATTCTGAATGTGATAGGTAAGCAAATGTGATAGGTAGGTTCTGTGGCCTATCTATCACATGCCGTTGGAGGTGAGACTGAGTATATCTTGAGACTCCTTTGAGTGGCAAAGGAGCCACCAACTTATCTTATATTCAAATTCAAAGAGAGATTTGAGTCTCTCAGTGTGCTTGAGGGGGAAAGAAAGCAGAGGACAAGCATGGAGGAAAGAGAGAACATCTGGAATGTTCTCACTAGAACAATGAATGAGTCCTTCGGAGTGCATCCACAAGATTAACATTTAAAAGAGCTGCCTTTGCTAATTCTTCTAGAAGTACTTTTTCTTTAAATGGCCAAAAGAAATGTCCCCAAGTGCATGAATATAAACATTGATCTCTTTAATGCCAGAACTTCCCAGCCCTCAGGGCTTTTATACCCTCAGTGTTCTCTTTGTCACCATGGATTCCACCTCGCTCATCAACATTCCATGCAGAACCACTACCCCTCCCTCCTCCTGGCTCCTGCAGACTATCTCAGGAGTGCTGAATGCTCCTTTAGAAAAAGAAAAGGGGGAAACCCAAGTACAAACGGCAGTAAGGAAAGATGATGAAGCAAGGAAGAGAACTACAAACAGGAGATTTTTATGAAGGACAAGACATTAGCAGCATGGTTTAAGGAATGCAAAAAAGAATTAAATAAGTGACCTTTTCTTTATTTTAATGCAGTGCATGAAGGAATATCACAGGTGCTACTGCCTTATCAGAAAAATAAGTATTCTCCAAGATTGCATAGACATTCATGTCTAATTAATCAGTGCTTTCTCCCCAGAAGTGAGCAACCCCACTCTTCCTAATACTGTTTAATAGGTGTTTTCCTGGCAAAGGCTAGGTTTCTTAGCTCTCATACCATTCAGCATTCTAGGATGTACATAAGAGAACATGTCATACTATTTGAGTTTGTAAAAACTATATATATATTTTTTCTCTCTCCATTTCCGCTGCAGATTTAGGGAGCAGCTTATATCTCATAAAACAGACTTGTATTGAGCACCATGAACCCTGAAACATGGAAACCCATGCCTTCCCGTGTATTCCTTTCCTATTGCTGCTATAACAGAGTACCACAAATTTAGTGGCTGAAAACAACACATTTCTCTTCTTCCATTTCTGGAAGGCCAGAGCCTAAAACCAAGGTGCAGGCATGAGGGAAGAATGTGCATCCTTAACTTTTTCAGTGGCCAGAGGCCTCCTGCACATCTTGGCTCATGGCTCCTTCCTCCTTCTTCAAGGCACATCTCTCTAACCTCTGGTTCCGCTGTCACATCTAGTTTTTTTGACTCTGATTCTTTTGTCTCCTGTTGTAATTTCATTAGGCACACCCACATAATCCAAGATGTTTTCTAATCCCAAGACCTTGACTCAATTATATCGGCAAACCTCTTTTCGTCATGTAAGGTAACCCATGAATAGGTTCCAGGGATTGGAAAGTAGACGTGTTCCAGGGGCCACTAATCTGTCTGCCATGGTGTGGATCTCAAGCACCTCTCTATTAAGTGCAAGCAGCTTTCATTTCACTTCTTTTCATTATTTCATACATAACAGGGTCCTATAAACATGTATCAAATTTGCACATCTGAAAATTAAGTATTTAATAACATGTAAATAAAGAGAAAGGGGTCTATCAGGCCCCCGAAAGCTGAAAAAAAAGTAAAATAAAATCCTTGATTGTACCATACTTATTGACTCAATAGTCAATGTTATGTTCTGGCATTATATGTCATTATATGTTTTTTCCATATTTTTCCACAATTGAAATCACAGTTGACTAACTCAAGTCTGTTGAGCATTCAATTTAGCCTGAGAGCACCTGATAATATCCATATTTGCTTAAATTAGATTAGTTTTATAAGACTAATGTACAATATTCCTTTTATATTGCAAAAGAATAAATACACAGTAAAAATTATTTAAATAATTTTACAAAGACCACATTATTCTGGAAACTAAACAGCTATCTAATAGAAAGAATGCGATGCCATATTTTAAAATGTCTGTTCAAACCAAAGTCCAAAATAATTTCATAAAATGTACATTAGAAATGTCAATTCTAATAAGATAAAATTAAAGGCTTTTCAAAATATAAATTGGATCTGTATAAAAATTATAGACCCAAAGTAGATCTTTTTTGTTGTTTTTCTTGGGTTTGATTTCCCTCATTGGGCCGAAAGTCATCTGAAACATCATTTCTTTTGTCTGGTAAAATATCACTAGTTTGGGGCTAGGGGCATTTATACAGTCATCATGAAACAGCTAACATAAGATTGTATTTCCTTTAATGCGTAAGAGATAATTATTTGACAAAATTAACATTACTGAAATTGGTGTGTGCTTCCAAAGAACCTATTTTTTGTATGGCAAACAAGTGACACTAAATAGAACTTTATTTAAGTATTCTCTTGGATCTGTATCTAAATCTAGATGCTTTATTAGAGCACCAATCGATAGTAAACATCTCACTTCATTTGAAAATAATTTTTCCTTTATACACAAATATAAATTTTTCTTTTATACACAACTGTAAATGGGGTGGAAAAGTAAAACTTACCTCAATGGATAGATGTGCAGAGTGCATGACACCTGAGATAACATATATGAATTCACAGCACATGGCCATCATTCAGTAAATTTTAGCTATGTTTTATTAGTAAGCAATAAAAAACCAGGCCACCCTTGTGAAAGAAATATTGACCCTGCTCTTTTTTTAATCCATGAATTGTCCCTCACTTTGGTTTGAGATATTACCTGCCCCACCATCGTTTCCCAGCAGGGTCCCCGAGGTACATCTGCAGGGTGCACAAAGAAAGGCGCCGCGGTGCTGTTTCCAGTGAGGGACTGCAGCGAGGCGTTGTAGGCCTTGATCATGTTGTCTTCCCAGATGGTAATGTTGGCCCTTATGAGCTTTTCCTCTTCAATCTAGAAAGCAAAGTGATGAAGACAACAGCAAAGATAACACAAATTTCAAAGGTGTGTCTGGCAATCTTGAGACCGGGACTGTAATGAGGTACTGAGGGAAAGGACAATCCAGGCACAGGATTTACCTTGTTGTTAATCTCATCCATCAAGGCAAGAATAAATACATACAAGTTGCCTAGAAGGAGAGCAAAAATGCGGAGCAGTAGCCATTTCAGAGCAATGAGGGGGTGGTAGTCTTCCAATTCAGCAAACAAATCAAACAATGTTGGGCAGAACATCCCCAGGAGGGACATGACCATGTTCATCTATAAGGAGAGACAGAGGATAAACTAGGTTAATGGTATGTAGAAATTATTATTACTTTCCTCCAGAATTTTTCAGAATATTTAGCTTGATTCCTCTGATTTTTTATTAAGTTAAAGAAGATTATCTTGTGTGTTTTAAAAATTCAATCTTAATAAAACATCACAGAAAATATCATCTCACATTCTCAAGATTTGGTTGTACATGAGCTTGTGTATGTGCCAGTAATAGTAGTGTTTCCTGGTATAATGAGGGATGCAATTTACATCACTCTTTATCCAAAAAACATGTACTGTTCTAAATTGTTACTGATTTTGATATGGTGATAACTTTTACAACAGCATTTCTAAAGGAACTGAAAAGTGATCTGCTTGAAAAATGAGGCCCAAACTGGAAATACTAATTCAACAATCATCAACATATGGGCTAGTTTAATAAGTTAGCATGGATGAACTAGTTGACATGGGCTCAGGACTAAATGTTGAATTTAGGGAAAGGCAAACTGTTAGGAGAGAAAAAAGAAGGTGTTTTACCTAAGAAAACAGAGGGCACTCAAAGGAACAAAAGGAGAACACACAGCATGACAGCATGATGTTATTGAAGCCAAGGCAAGACAATCTCGAAAAGATGAACTGGTTTATAATGCCAAAGGCAAGAGAATGATACAAGAGAGAAGGGGTGGGGGGAGAAAGAGAGAGAGAAATGGGGCAAGGAGGAAATGTATGGTCCTTTTCTCCTGCTTGTCACTGTTATGATTATGTTATTTGGCTAAATTAAGTGTAAAAAAAATCCATAGCAGGTACTAGTTTTATGATGGGGAAAAATACTGCCTTAAATTAAAAAAAAAAGATTTCAGATAATTTTTAGCAACTTTTAATAAATACCTGGCTCAAACCATCACCATTAAACATTTTCTATTTCCCCTGGTGGACTCCATGCTTTGAATGATTAGAAGTACAAGAATAGAAAATAATTGTCAATATATTTTTCCACTTTTATTAAGAGCATTATATAAGTATAATCAGCAAGAGCTAAAAATCAGCATAACATAAAATCAGCATGATATAGTTTCAGCCTAAAGTAAAAACTTGGCAGATCCTATAAAATCTTACATAAATTTAATTCTGTTCGTCAAATTTTATAGTTATTCACAAATCCCTGTTTTTAAACTCATTGGTTTCTAGGACTCAGGGATCCCCTAAAATTGACATTAAACAAGTTCTTACAAAGAGTGACTCTTAATGATACAACTACTCATCCTTTACTATGGTTCAATTACACAAAAATATGGTCCATATGAACCATGGACCAAAGTAGCATGATAATTTTGCCCACAAATACTGTCAAAACTATAAAAAAGAATTTTGACAACAAATCTAATAAAGGCTTTGAGATTTGTTTGTTTTAAGTAAATACAATCTCTCTACCAAATGACTCTATTTTATAGGTTTCTATGAAATGTCTGCTGATTTAATCTCTTAAATGAATGGTCTCCCATCTCCAGTGTTACTTCTGAAATACCTAGAATGTTTTTGTTTGAAACTTTTGTTTTAAGCAGTTATACCATTTTCTGTCCAAAATTTTTAAAGAAAATTCTATACTTATGAAGAATTAATCTTTTTGGTTTATAAGCTTGTACATAAATTTCAGTATGGGAAGTTCATGCTTCCCACAGGCTAAATGCACCCAAAGTTTGAAAATGCCCAAGTTCAAAATGGTGTCACATTGTACACCGCAACATTTTATGAAAGAGAACAGGCCATAGGAACAACATATGATCAATGATTTTCTGATTCTAAGTATCTACCTCTAACCTCCCTTCTCTGACCGGATAAATGGGTAGATACTCTGAAGAAAAATCAGCATCATAATATTTAATTCCTGGCAAAGATCTGGCCTTCCTCATTTGAATAGCATTCAGAGAAAGAGGAAATGGGGCAGAGGAGGAGAAAATGGGTACAGCGAGTTAGGCTGCTAGTGAAAAACAGAAAGAAGCTCAGACTTGCCCCAAGTGAGGGAGGCAATCTGAATGTGTCCATGGCATAAGAACAGCAATCAAGGACATTATCACTGCTGCTTCAGAGAATGCAGGCAACAATGGCCTCTTTCCATGGCAAATGCTGGATCTACAGGGAAATCAACATACAGCCATGAAAAGAGTATGCAGCTTGAAACCAAGATTCCTACGTTTTAACGCTCCCTTTTCTCCATGGTTCTGTGACCCCAAACGCATCACCTAATCTCCTGAGATTCATTATCCCATTTGTAAAATGTACTGCTTGGAATAGATGTGTGTGAATATCTCTTCCAACTACAACTTTCCAGAATGTCCCAAAATTAAAAACAGACAGACAGATTTGCAAATAAGGCTGGAATAGTGTAGAATATGTGAGACAGGGTTGGTTAACTCACAGAACAGGCTGAAGGGGATAGGTAGAGAGTGGCCTTATTTAATATTCCACCATAGAAACATAACCCACAAAATCACAAGTGTCAGGTTCTAAGCACATAGAAAGCATGCAGAGACGAACTTCATTTTTTTCCCACCACCCAAGGGTGTCGGGATCTTGCTGTGCAAATTCCTGGGATCGCTTCACAGCCCAAAAGATGAGGTATCCACTCCCGGCAAGTGTTAGAAACACGAAGAAGTTAGCAAGGAACCTCAGGAATCTAATTAAGTGGACGTTTTCTTCTACTTGGGCTGCTCTTTCTTCTATTATAGCTTCCTGTAACCAGGAAAACCAGAAACAAAAAGAGAAATATCTGAACTACAAAAATATCATAAGTGCAGAAATTAATTTTGCTAACATCAGAACATGAACAATAAAAATAAACTAAATCTGGGATTCTACAAACCAGTGAACCTTGCTGGCAAGTGAGAACAAGTGAGAGAAAGGAGTAATTCTTACAAAGTCTGATTGATCTAATAGGATAGTCTTCATTCTAAATTCTCTTTCAGTACAGTTTTTTTCATCCTTATCCAAGGTTATGTATGTTGATTTTAGAAAGAGGAGTAGAGGGAGAGAGAGAGAGGAACATCTGTTGGTTGCATCCTCCACATGCTCTGACTGGGGATTAAACCTGCAACCTTTTGGTGAACCAATGATACTCAACCAACTGAGCCACCTGGCCATAGCCTAGTACAGTTTTTTTTAAAGCTATAAAATAACATTTTGAAGTAATTTTATTTTATTTTTTTAAGTACATGGTTTTTTAAAGCTTTTATTTATTTTTATTTTTAGAGAGAGGGGAAGTAAGGGAGAAAGAGAGTGGAAGAACCATCAATGTATGGTTGCCTCTCACATGCCACCTACTGGGGACCTGGCCCACAACCTAGGCATGTGACCTAGACTGGGAATAGAACTGGTGACTCTTTGGTTTGCAGGCCTGTGCTCAATCCACTCAGCCACACCAGCCAGGGCTAAAATCATTTTTGATAGTGAGCATGATTCTATTATGTAAACTATCTGATTATGATTACTAATGGCTGCCTATTTTAAGCCAATAGTATTATTTAATTAGCAAATTTAGAGAAAAAATAGTTTTGTCATGGGTCATTAGATATTTTTTAGCCATAATCAGAATGTTGCCCAGATCTCAATAGGCAGAAATAATAAATTGATCTTTTTTTTACCTGTCACGATACTTTGCTATCTAGAACACATGGAATGGCTTCAATTTTACTCTTAGAAATGCAAAGGAAAGCCTCTTGAAGGTGGTGTCTTTACCTTAAAGTTCATTGTGATGGAATTGAATTTGTTGTCTGCTGTTTCAGGGTTGCCAATCAGGTAGTCCCAGCTGGTGAACACCTTCCAGCTGAAGTTGAAAGTGTTGTCATCGCCACCCCCATCATCACCAATACCTTTTGTCATCCTATAAAAACAGGAAGTTTAATCCAACAAGCAGAATATGAAAAGGAGAGAGAGAGGGGATAGAAGTGTTAAACATCATCATAATTATAGGTAAATTGGAGAAGCAATACCTAAAAGATATATTTTCAAACAAGGTTTTTTAATTACCAGAAAATAGAAGTTTATTTTTAAATTTTGTTTGAATTTTTAAAATGTGCATCTATGAAGCATTCAAGATTAAAAGGCCAGTAAGAATTAATGATTTTAACAATTAAATAGGTCATATAAAGTACATATTTTTAAAATAATTTTCCTAAACTGTTGTCTTGGCATCATATACTTGGCTTTAACCATTTTGTGGAATAAGGCTGTCTTTAGACATCTGAGGAAATCTATTGGGTCCCTCCCCAGGAAAAAGTACTAGTAGACTCTAAAACTGTTATATACAACTTTACTTGGTTACCAGACACCCTGAAGCTTAGGGACGGACTAACCCAGGTCAGGTCAGGAAATAACTGCATATGTTTCAATTCACCCTAGACTCTCCTCCCAAAGAATGGTTATACTGAATGCATGAAACTTCTCCACATTCTACAACTCTTGACCAAAAATCAAGATTTTTATACAACCTTAATGACAAGTAGTTACATGTATCCTAAGCAGTGATTTAATTTTTTTGGTTAAAAAGTTTAAAATGTATTTACTTACAATTTCATTTTATTGGTTAGAGAACTATATTCTACTTACTCTACTTCCTTTTCCCCCTATTACTATAAATAGCAAAACTGAAGTTTCATATTATACACATAAAATGGTCCCATAAAGTTTTGGTTTTTAAAATACCACAGTGATATGGAACTGAAAAAGAAAGGGGCACAATGACAGAAAGCTGACATCATGGGTTGGCAGGCATCTCTAAGGTCATCTAAATTCCCCCACTCTCCCTACCCCTTATGAAAGTTTATATATTTCAAATGGGCTAATGTGTTATAAAAATAACCAAATATAATTATTCCTTACATCAATCTATCACTTCACCCTTTGCAAATGGCATTTAGGAGTATTATCATTCATGTGTATTTGCTTTTAATATGTATGCAACTTTTGACTACAAAAGTCTATACACTTCAGATATTGTTAGTAATGTACACTGCCCTCAAAGGAAGAAGAGAAGAAAGGAGGGAAGAAAGGAAGGGAGGAAAATGAGAACAAGGGGCCTAAAACTGTGGTGACCAACCTTCTTGGTTTGCTAGGGACCAAGTGCGTTTACAGGACACTGGACTTTCAGTTCTTAAGCCAAGGAGAATCCTGGGTCAACAAAGTTAGCTACTCCACCTTTAAACCTCAAAATATTTTCTTGGGTTTCTAACTCATATTACCTTCCAGTATCCATATTAGGTAATTAAAAGTAGATATTTGCCACCATTTTGTAGATGAGGATGCTGAGACAAACAGTAAGGGCAAGATGCCAAAGTCCATCAGTACCTAATTGATTTTAGAACCCAGATTCCTTTCTACGTGTTGAGTAATGTAACCTATAAATCCACTCATGTTTACTCCAAGAAGATAAGTCTTATCAGGACGGGGAGGAAGGGGAGCAGGTGACAAATGACTCGGTACAATCAATTATAGTTCATCAATTCTTTTTCTTTTTTTTAAAATTGTTGTTGAAATACAGGTTTCTGTCTTTTATTCCCATCCCACCCCTCCCCACCAGGGCTCATCAATTCTTTTTCTACCAAGCCTTGCTCTCATAGCTCGGAGTGGGTGGGAGTCATGAATTGCTTTGAAACTGTCTTGCCACACAAGTCAATGAGTTTAAACTACTGGCCAATCAGGTAACAACCAAAGATCCACGACAGAGGAAAGGAACAAAATCAGGTTGCTTTAACTGGCCTAACACAAGTGACTCTGAGGGAAAATGTGGATGTGGTGCCCTGCAGGTATCCAAAATGGCATCTTCAAGGTAGACGGAAAAAAAAACGCCATTTCCTGTAGGATAGCGTTTTCCAATCTGGTCACCACCAGCAATGTGTGGTTCCTGAGCACTTGAAATGTGAGCATATAAAATACATACAACATTTCAAAGACCCAGCACTAAAATTTTTTTCAATAATAATTTTATTTTAATTATGTGAAAATAATCATTTGTATACTGAGTTAAATAAAATATACTATTAAAATTAATTTTACCTGTGTATTTATTTAATATAGCTACTAGAAAATTTTAAGTGAGATATGTGGTTCATCTTGTGCTTCTTTGCACAATGCTGTTCTATAACCTCTAAGTTCACCTGCTAGAAAACTATTTTAATGAATACAAAAATCCATTCATGTACAACTGCAAAACCACATGTGACTGCCCTCCCACTGGGGTTCTCAGGTGACCTCAACTCCTACCATGTTGGCTCTTTGATTCTCTAATAATCCTATGGATTATAACCCTAACAAAATTATTAACATTTATCCATTACTTACCACCAGCCAGTCATGTTCTCAGTGCTTTTAGGTATTAACTCATTTAGTCCTCAGAGTCATCCAAAGACCAAGGTGTTATTACAACTCTTAAAATGGGAAGCTAGAGAACAGAACACTTGTGCAATCTGTCAAAGGTCTTTTAGTACATGAAAGACCTGGGATTTGAACCATGCAGAACAGCTGTGAAGCCCACCAGGATGCACAGCATCTGCAGAGTCGCTAAAAGAAGCTGAATAACTGGACATACACAAACATGCTCCCCAGTGACTAAGGAGCCTGAAAGAGCAACACAAAAACAATACTCAGGAGGCCTCGGTAATGTAACTGGCAACCTTGACTTTAGGCTCGCCAAATCAAAATGGTTAAAGACTAGAAATAGCTTTATTTGGGAATGTGGTAGGATTTATCAGGTAGCTAGATACCTAATATTTAGGATCTCTCATTACATTTGGACAGTACATAAATATTTTGATGTGGGGTATCTATTAAGGCTTTTTTCATGACTTGAAAGGCCGTGAAAGCTAAATATGAAAGTGTTCTTCGGTGGAACCAGTTAAGTATGACAGGGACAAGACACAAAGCATGTCACAGATGGGTCCAGAGCTCCTGCTGAGTGTGACTTGGACCCTTAGGCAGAGATCCTTCCCTGAAATGAAGCCAATGGCCCATTCAGGCTGTGCAGAGTCAAATAAAAGAGCTGGCACATTAACTGAGGTGTCTCAACTCCTCCTCAGAGAATTGCCTAAAGGGTAGGTCATTCACAGCCCCAAACAGCTGGGCTGGGTGTCTGCAGTGTCTTTAAGCAGAATATTATAAATACAGGATGGGGGAAAAAGTAGGTTTATAGTCATATGTTCGTGAAACAGAGTTTATTCTTGTATTATTATTTATCAATTATTGTGTTATTTTCCACACGGACAGCTGTAAACCTATTTTGCCCCAGTCTGTATATTTCAGACAGAGAGAAAAATGAACCATTGTTTCATCAGTTCCCCAATAAAGTTCTTCCTCATGCTCTAATAAATCCTTTCCAAGACAAACCATGATTATACATTTGATCATGATGATCTCATATGGGGCCATTTGTTTTTGCTGCCTTACGCAGCTGAATATTTTTGGATGAGTGATTATTCTGGCTTTAAAACACACACACACACACACACACGAACAGAGAACAACAGATTCTGCCTATTGAACTGATTCTGCGAGTCACAAACTTCTCTGTACACAAAATGAGGGGTCAGCAGCTGTTTCCCTGTCTTGTTTGCAACACTGATTCACACTCTGAAGTACAAAGAGGCACATTATAAAAATATGCTCAAACCCAGGATGGGCTCACAGCCATCAGTGCAGCCCAGTGAGATGAGCCAAAGGCCTGTGCTTGTGTTCAACTCTTTCATTTGGAGGATGTAGCAGTCTAACATTAGTGTCAGTATTAAAGTAACATTTTATCTCACAGACTCTGCATCCTCTAAATGTAAACCAAAAAAATTACATCCATTCTTCCATTCGATTCTGGAAATCATTGCTTGCTTTGCAAAAGACCAATGAAACTTACTCTTTAAGGACAACCACAAAGCTGTATCCAATGCACATGATCCCCACCAGAAAATAGGAGAGCGGCAACCTGAAATTCATCCATCCAATTGTGCGTTTATTGTCGTAATAGCCATAAAAGAGGACGGAATATTGCGCCAAGCCCTAAAATCCAACAATAAAGCCACTTAACAGATGTTGTATAGAGCAACTCAAAAAAAAAGATCAATTTTTAAGAGAAATGACATCCATTTTCAAACTTCGGAGATGGCTCTGACTGGGGCCCTATTGTTTTGCTTCACAGAGTGAATGTTTCAGCTGCCACATTGATTGGCAGTCTCTTGGTTTACTCAAAATTCAGGGACTTCTAAATAGACCCATTTTTTCATCAAATATAGGTTTGCTCAGCTGTGGAGGCATTACAATGAAATGTCCATTGACTGAAACATGAAAACAGAATAAAAACAGACTCGTGGATAGAGAATAGACTGACAGCTGTCAAAGGGGAGGGGTTGTGGGGTTGGGTGAAAAGATGAAGGAATTAAGCAAAAAAAGACAGACAGAAAGAAAAGAAATGAAAAAACTCATAGATACAGATAACAGCCTGGTGGTAACCAGAAGGGAAAAGAGGTAGGGGAGATAGTAGAAGGGAAAGGTGGAGATAAATGGTGAAGGAAAAAGACTTGACTTTAGGGCAATGAACACACAATAAAATATACAGTTGCTATGTTATAGTGTTGTACAACTGAAACCAATATAATTTTACTAACTTATGTTGCCCCCAAAAATTCAATTTAAAAACATATTTCATAGTGACGTTAAATTTATAATTTTAAGAGCTTGCTTAATATGGAGGGAAGGTCTGAAACATGCTTCCCCAGGTTATTATGGCAGGTTTCCCCTCCCAGGCACAGCCGCAGTTGGATTGGTTCTCTTAAAACACAGACGCTCTTAGTCCAGATGAGGAGCAGGTGAGAGGACACTGTGCAACCTGCACAACCTTCTATTCATCAAGACCATTACAGCATTCTCTCCTAACAAGCATGTTTATTTATGTAATTATATGCTTTTTCCTAAAAATCAGCCACCAGGGTTGGAATCACCACTTCCCAAAGCTGCCTGCATGGGACATACACAGAACATTGGTGTATTCTGATGCTGCTTCCTTTATAGTATTTTCATCTTTCTCGTCTCTTGTCCACTGTGTTTTTTGCTCTCAGTGTGGAACCATTGTTTCTGTATTGCTGTATATCTACTTCCAGAGCTCTTCTCTGATTTCATCTCTCTGCAATAACTTAAAGTTACTATGCCTTGTAAAGTGAGGAGACAGTAACTTGCTAATGCAGGGCTTCCTCTTTAGGTTGTGTGTCATCTCTTGAATCTTAGAAAATCCAACTGTCTGATTTGAACATCATTTATACCAAGCCAGGGACTTTGAAACCTACTGTTGAAAAGGGAAGAGAGAAAGTAAGTGGGGGTAGGGTGGAAAAGAAGGAAGAAGTGCCCTGGATGCTAATTTCCAAAGGAAGAATTAAGAGAGGTTATTTAGAAAATTGCCTTAAACAAAGATGGTGCCTAGCTGAAATCAGAGGCCAATAGAGATCTAGAAAAACTGTTGCTTTCCAAATTTGCAGCAAATTTGTCCCCACCCCACCCCACTAATTCTTTGCAAGAATTAGCAGTGGTGCGGTCAGGGGTGGGGATGGGGGGTGGAAATCTCCAGAAAAATCTCAGAAGAGCTCATGGGCTTAAGTAGGGTTGGGATGGGATAGGAGGGTTATAGATAAAAGCCAAACTGGTTCCTTGCACCTTATTTGGCTGTACCTTCATTTTCCAGCTCAAGAAAAAAAATAAATCCAACCCTAAAAGATAATTTGGGGCTAAATAACTCATAGAAACACCAAATAGGAGAAGCAAGAGGCTTAATCTTGTACTGAAGATAGGAAACCAAATAGACCCGAATTGGCCAACAGGCTGAGACCCAGAAATCTTCCCAGGAGAATAATCACTGGGAGGATTTCCCTGCCCTTGGTTCCATGACATCTTCTTCTTTCACGTTTTCTAGGTAAGGTCTCTGCTTCTTCTCAGCTATTTTAAATCCGATCTCCTTCCACCCTGTCCAGAACCTTCAAACCAGCCCTCCTGTCCCCAGGGAACAATAACTAGCAGAACCTGGAAAGTACAGGGACTTGGCCCCTTGTCTAGTGTAGAAAGATTCTGATCTACTTCCTTTTTTGTAACTGTAAGGCATTCACTTTACACGCTCCTCTGCTATTCCCTGTAACTGACCCTTACCTCCTTTCCTCGTTCCCATCCTGACGCCTGGTGATAAGGGTTGCAGTAATAATACCAATCGGTAAGTTTTGCTGAGCACTTAGCATTTACAGAAAACCTGACTTCATCTCACAGAATCCTCACAAGAACCCCATGAAGTTGCTACTGTTCAGGGGGAACAGTTTTCCTCAACTTTTGATGTGTTCTTTCATATGTCAAAGACCCATAAACTTATCGCTCTGCCTCCTCCTGAGAGAGTATGTGCCGTGCTCTACCCGGCAGGGCAAGGCCTTTTCTAGGCTAGGGCTGCTGGACAGAAATGCCTCACTGGGAGGCCCATTTGCCTCCAAAAATACACCACACTATTTAATATCTGCTTTAACAATAATAAAGGTACCATGTTGACCTCCACCTCTGCCTTACTTCTGGTTAGCACACAAGCTGGTTGGATGGGGCAGGGTGGGGGGGTTATTTACTGCCCCATCCCCACATACACACCTCCCCGCCCAATTCAGATGAAGAAACTGAGCCTTAGAGATATTAAGTAATTTATGCAACTTCACATAGCTACTGAATGACTGAGTCTGAGCTTGAACTGGGTCGGTCCAATTCAAATCCTCTATACTTAACCACCGTGCTATGTTGCTTCTCCTGTGTTTTCTTTGTCTCCCAGGCCTGGTGTCATGCTGGTTCCTTATCTTCCCAGTAAACCAAAGACAAGGAAACACTACCAGCTCAGCAGGGACCTTTGACCTGTACTCCTGAATCAGTCCCTGGTGGAGCCAAGTCCTCTTAGAAAAGACCGAGGTACCCTCCCTGCAAAGATTTCACTGGGCCTCATTCCCACACTTATAAACATTGCAATCTGACATCTTTATCTAATTCACAATGACAGTATTAGGATTAAAAGACACCTCCAAAACAGCATGAAAGGAAAAACATAACAAGCATCTGGTGAACTTGTTATGTTAGCACAATAGCTACTGGGGCAGCTAGCGCATCTGGTGTACGTACCACTCAACATATGTTCAGTGGCTGGCACTTCATAAGTGTTAGATCATATCCAAAGTGGTAAGGGTCCTGCTTGTTTTTGAATCCTGATTACTTTACAAACAGTTCTTCAGTTTATCTGTTGCTACATATGCAGTTAAGTATGTCAGCTGAAAGAGGCATTATTGAAGAGTGCAATTTTAAAGACCTTTTACCCAATCCATTTTCCATTTTGGGGGAGTGGCTTTAAACACAAGTTGAAAGGCTTATCAGAGGAACACTCCTCTCCTTCCACTCAGCTGGCCCACCACACTTCATGCATTTTTCTTCTTTTCTTAAAACTCCAACAGCAGAAATCTGGAAGTGACTAAAATAGCAAGAAATCCTAGCCCAGCCAAGGTTCTATTTGGTTTCCATGTCAGCATGCATGGCTTTCCATGTGGGAGCTCTTTCCCACCCCAAAATCTGTGTCAGAGAAATCACGGTCAGAGCCAAGTTTCAAACGAGCACAGTAAAGTCCTGTCCAAGTCTGGGTCCTAGGCTTCTGCACTCTATTCTGATCACCTATTCTGATCATTTCCCCTTCCTCACTTACAGTCATCCCACCTCCCCAATTCTCCTGCAACTAATACTGTTCTGGTGTGTATTTCCAAAGGACTCCTTGAAAATAAAACTGTGTTTGAACTGATGAAATATTCCTGAAAGATGTGTTCCTTCATACATGAATCATAAAAATCTCTCTTCTAAATGTGGTCAAGACAATAAGACATGAAGCAACTTAAGATAACAGATATGTCTGAGAGGAGATGCTCTCATTTGTGGAAGATCGTTACTTTAAAAAAGAAAAGCTGTTGGTGCTGGTAAAATAAAAAACTAAACTGCTATGTGTTCACATTCAGAATGTCTGTGACAAGTGTCCCTTGAGTACAGACCTCAAGGAAGAGTCATGGTAAAGTAGGCACGGAAGAGAAACTGGCTTTGAATGACGTGTTAGAGTAAAACAATTTGGCATTAAAGTCAGCCACATTTTGGCTTGAATTTCCGTGTCTCCTCTAACTATAAGTGCTGTCTTTGGCAAATTAACTTCTCTGAGTCCCAATTCCCTCAACTACACAATGATTATTGATTATCATCTTGAAGGGTTGTTATAAAATGTAAGTATATGGACCTGATTAACACATAAAAGGTGTTAATTTTTTCCCTCCTGCCCAAAAGAGCTTCCCCCACCTCCCACATCCATGAGGATGAGCAGAGCGGGGGAGGGAAAGCGGATATACCATTTATCCACATGCGATGTACAAGATGCCCTCAAGCTGGACAGCTAAATGCATTTTCCTTTATTCACAATTCGAATCTTTATTCATATGATCTCACTGTGTGATATCAGCTCAAGCTCCTTCCAAATTCCAAATCAGTTCTTTCTTCTCTTTCCCTGACAAGAATATCGAAACTATACAGTCTTTTCTTCTTTGTCATTTTTACATCATCCTTGCATCTCCAAGTATCTTGCCAACACATGCATCTTCTTCTTACTGACTTAAACTCCCTTTTCTAATTCTACAGCTTCAAATGATACCATTTCTGCTAATTTGAGTCAGAGCATACATGTTAGATAATCTCTCTATTTCTTACTATTTTAGTAAAATATATTTCCCCCTTATCAGTAAGATCCATCACTAGGTACTCAATAAAAGGAATAAAAATATGGTGCATTGTAAATGGTGACTTTGAGAAGCCATAAGACTGACTGACCTAGCATATATCAAATAGTAATTGACTACTATTAATTAAAAGGAATTTGGATGAGTTATGATACATGTGTATCAGTGAGAGAACACTGAGCCTCCAAGGAGATGCTCCATGGAGAAGGGAATTTCAGAAGGAAGTGTCAGGTTTCCAAAATGAAGATCAACAGAGAAACAGCTCCTTAAAACTTTCTGCACCTCCATCCTCCATCCTAAAGGTATCTCTGTCCCTTCTCATTTTGTAACCCCCTCTACCACAAGGGGTATCTATTAACTATGTTCTATTGTCTTTTCTGCTCTCTTCTCCTGTGTTTATATGCATTGTTAGCTAAGCTGGCACATTAATCTTAGATGCAACAAATGAATCTGTGCACTAATTAGACTGTTCAGGCACCAGTCATCTCTGTCCTGGGTCTGAAACATGTCTTTTCCCCTGGCATCTCTACAAGGGCAGCATTCTGAGTTTTCAGGGATCTCAAGGACATTTTGGTCAATGGTTTCCTCCATGGTGTCATGATGGATGGACTCATGGGCTGTCCACTTAGATCATCTTATAATAACAGAGCAGGTTCCTTTATGAGGTAATTGTTCACATGATCAAGTAGAGAACTCAGGCAAAAGTAAATATCAAATCTGTCATTCTACTTGGGAAGCTAATTTGGAAATTGCAGGTTTAGTATAAAAGGTAAAAATGGGGCCCAGCTGCTTCAACTCCTTCTTCGTTTGTGAGGAAGATAGAGCATTAAATGAAGTTAGTCTCTATGCCAGGAACGAAGGGTGAGAAGGCAATTGGAAATTAATAGAGAAAATTACTAATAGGAACAGGACATAGAGCACTAGACTAGGAGCTGCTCATTAGCCATAAAATCCCAAATGTTCACTTCTGCCACTTAGTTCCCCTAACTTTATAATGTGGGACAAGGGATGAAAGATCTCTAAGGACGCTTCTGCCTCTAAAAATCTCTTATTTTGTTATACATGGCAAACAATTGAGTGGTTACAGTATGCAGAAAAATTAAGAAAGCCTACAAGTGAATAATACCACTTTTGTTTTTCCTTGACGTTTTGATACTCCTTCACTGCCTTAGAATCATTTCCAGGCAGACTGAGAATGGTAGGGGAATGTTAATGTCACAGAAGCACTTCCTCCTCATCTTTTTTGACTGATCAATATCTTTCAAATCTCAAATGGACGTTTTCTGCAAAATGTTTTTAAAACTATTTTTTGTTTATTTAATTTTCAAAAGATTTAACTTATTTATTTTAGACAGGGGAAGAGAGGGAGAGAGAGAGGGAGAGAAACATCAATGTGTGTGTCTCTCATGCGCCCTCTACTGGGGACCTGGCCCGCAACCCTGACCCGCAACACTTTGGTTCACAGGCCAGCACCCAATCCACTGAGCTACCCCAGCCAGGGAACCAAACTTTTAATTTCAGTTATTTGACCAATGTATATGTCCTTAAACTTCAGAAATATGTTTAAAAATCAAAAGCCTTTTGTTCATATTTTTAGTTCTTCCTTTCTCTGATATGCCAAGCATCAGAAAATGCCAATGATGTTACTATTCTTACTCTTATTAACCAGACTTGAGTTTATTATCTTGCTAATCGGAGGAAGAGAACTGAGAAATCAAACTTATTTCAGGAGGGAGTAGTAATATATGTTTTTGGAAATTCACATAAGGGAGGGCAGGTAGAGAGAGAGAGATGGAAGAAGTAAGAAGTAATAAAAAAGGGGAAATGAATGTTAAGAAGGAAAGGCTAACTCAGAGGCCATCTACTATAAAAAAAAAAACAACAACAGATATTCCGAAGCAAAATATCAACCACCTTCTTGGGGCTCCCCAGTATCTTTTTCTTCATTTTGCTAACTTAGTACATAACACACTGTATCTTTCTTCTGATCTCATGAATGCCTTGAGGAAAAGAATCATGTCACATTTCATTCATCTTTATAAAACCAATGCATATTTATATTTTATAAATAAACATTGAATTGAAACAGAAATTCTAAATGACGGGTGATTTCAGATTTCAAATGCCACAGAGTAGGGCCTACCCCTATGCTTACTCTATATTTTGCCTTGTTTAGTGACAGACTGGAAACCTTTTTAAAGTTTACATTTTCTAGTGCTGCCAACATAAATTCATTTCTATGGGTCTTGTCTCAAGGCTCTACAAACCCTCCCCTTTGCTCAGATTGCCAATCGACGGGATTCATTGAGCCTCTGCTAGCTGAGGATATAAGGGTGTCTGAGGAGACAAAGCAGGTGTGCCCCATCTTTAGGAAGCTCACAATTTAGGGGTGTTGAGAATAGAATTCAAGACATAGGAAGCAGGCCTATTAACACTACAAATGTGAAGACTGCTCATTGTTTTCCTCTCCTTTCTTCATTCCCCATTTTACACAAAGTTTTATTTTCACTTGCTACTTGTCAAAAACTCCTTGAATTATCCATTCCCTGAGCTCTAATTTGCTACTTTTTCATCCACTACACTTTCAAACATCTCTAATCTTGACACTATTTTTAAAAGATCATGTGTCACAGACCTGAATCACACTCCAAAATGATTTTTCAATGGGCAGGGATAAGTTTCTATCGCAACAATAAAACTCACCCGGGGGAGTTCAAAGCGTAATACTCATTTTGGTACTACCATACAGTGATCCTTACTTGGGCACCACAACAGAGGGAACCTCATTTTAGCATTATTTAGAAGTTAGAATATGGTATTGGTGGTATTTAATATTTAGCTTTATTTGATATTGACTGTTCAGTAATATTAAATAGACTTGTTTAGGAAGTGAAGAGGTTAATATGTAATGTAAAAGCTCTCATTTTCTAAGAACCCAATGAGATTTCCAAAAAGCACTTTTGCAAACTCTTTCTTTGTTCTTTTCCAAAGCCAGAGATAAGGATATTTGCTTGAAGTCTTTGAACTCTGAGCTCACCTTCATTCGGTAATCTCCATTAATCATATTATCATATTACCAAACCTTATTCACTTTTTTTTTTCATTTTTTTTAAACAGGGGCAAAAACATCTCTCTTAAGACCTTCACTCAGCCCCAGCAAAGAAGTCCATGGGGTTTGAGAATTAAAAAAAAAAAACTCCATCGTCCTACTGACACAGCTGTGTAGAGACACTTACGTTGAAGTCATACAATACACCAAAATTCGCTGCAGACGCCTCTTCAGCTCTGGGAACTGTTTTTCTAGGTAAACTGCCATATGGCAAACCCCAGAGGTACTATAGGAAAAGGCAAAGAAACCAGTTAATAATTGGAAACAAAGTCTGAACCACACATGTGATCACAAATTGTTTTATTTAAAAATACTTCTGAAGCCTTTTCATGAGAACTGTGCATCTGCATGTGGGGTCCCATTTTCTGGGAATCTACTATTAAATTCAGAATTAGGAACAAAAGGAGTGCTAAGGACCCTGCATTTTGAGTTCAGTGGGCCACCGGCAGCTGGGCCAACCACATTGCCCAGAAGGCTACCCACCAACACCTTCAAACTGGTCTCATTTAGGAGAGGTCTGGAAAGGACAGAGTGGCCTTTGGGGACTCCAGTGTTCTAGAAAGTCATACCCCCCACATCTTCATATGGGATTGGGGTGGAAGAAGAATCTCTCCTTCATGTCAAGGAAGGGAACTCTCAAAAGAATCACTTGCAGAATTTGTGGATGACGACAAGGAGACTGACTGCGCCCTGATCATGATACTTGCCTCACCACTAATTCAGGTTTACTACCCTGATCTTGTGTTGTCATATTAGAAGGGAAGTTGCTAGGTGTGGAGCCAGTCGGTAAAAGGGCAAGAATAGTATCTTATGAGGAGCCTCGCTGAGAACTGGGAGAAGCACCCAGGGTGCACACATGGCTTGCCAAGCAGATGTTGCTTCTTTTATGAGATGAAAACTTCCCTTCCCCTGGGCTGGGGGTAGAGAATGAATGTGGATAGAGATCTGGGTGCAAAGCCTGACTGGCAATGGCTAGAAATCAGCCCCTAATCCCTCCTTCCACATGAGCTGCTCCGCTTTAATGGCAGTCCTTCAGCCCCTCGGCCTTCCTGGGACTGAGTAGAACAGAGGCTGAGGCCCACCTGCTCTGTCTCACCCCACAGCCAGGAGCCACAGAGGACCAAAACATTAGGATTTGCCCAGGGACACAGGAACTGGGGGGCAGAAAGGCATATGCACCACAAGAACACTGAGTGGGGCTGCTGGTATCTGAAAAAGGAGCCTTGTGAGCAGGACATGACCAGCCCTGGCCTCTGAGGTCCTATAAAGTTAACACAAGAGGTGCCCATCCTCTTCTGCTCTTTTGCTGGAGTTGGTAATCACTGCCCAGAAAACAGGATGCTCCTCAGCATCTAATCCAATTGGACACACATTAGCTCCTTCCACTACATGCTGGTAGGAATTCTGCAATTTCATGTAGTTGGAATGAATTAGCTACAACCTTTCATTTCCTCCACACGGAGGCAGCACCGGACGAGGGAAACAGTAAACGCTGCTGATAAATCTCCCTGGATCCGTACCCTGAGTCTGACACTAAGGAGCGCCATAGTAGCCAGTGGTGAGGTTTCAAGTTTCCTTAGAGAGATGAGCAAAAATAAAGCCAGGTTTAATTTGAAATAGATAAAATACACACATTCTGCTGTGTCACCTGAAAGTTTTTACTTTGGAGATCTGATCTGCGTCCGCTGTCTTCTACCAGCCAGATAGCTGTAGAAGCCCCGGAATTATCTCACAACTTATAAAACTAGTGGACTAGGGTGCAAAATCCAAAATAAATTCACTCTGGGATGCTAGCTAAATCCAATAAGCATTATAGACTCAATTTTTAAATTTTTTTTTTAAATGAGGGAACAAAAACTCTTTTAGAGTCTGTCTCATAAATTTGTTGTGAGGACCACTAAGTCAAAGGAAATGAAAATGTTTTGCACTTCTAACAAGCAAAAAACTCATTATGAATGTAAGGCACTGTCAATGTCATTATGCTGATAAGTGGCTGGATACAGAGGCGGGCCCTGCTTTAAGACCATGGACATATAAACTTACAACACCAACTCTGGCTGTTTTCAATGTTGCACAGATCAGACTGATTTTGAAATACCAGTACCTAAAAAGACCCTTTTCAGGTTAAATAAAGCCTAACTCAATTTTTGTGGGGTAAGCATCCAAAGAGCTCTGAGACATTTAACTTCACATGGGTGAGGGTTCCGACCTCACTCTTGTTTCTCAGCTTTAGCTGATTGTCCCCACGTCAGACACCCCATTGCATGTGTGTGTGTCTGTGTTATCCTACTTTATATCTAGAAAGAAATGGCTCTCTTTGTGTTTTTTTCACTACAGGAAAGCTGGATGCTATGAGTTGCATTAAGACACATTTCTTTCAAAGCGAACTTGGCAAAACAATTATGACTCACCTGATGTCAGAGCCTTCCTCTTGGGCAATGAAAATTTGAGAACAGGGACCACCTTGGGAATCTGACAGGAGCCACGAGCCTTTCCACATAATAATGTGCACATAAACAGACACATGACATTTTACATTTTGCATGACTTTAGGAGGTTCACAAACCTCTGGGAGCAAGGATTAGGACTTTTGGTCCAGGGGCACCATTTTGAAGTTTAATTTTGCCACAAATACTAAAACTCTAAGGGTGGCTATAACCAGTCGAAAATTATATTCTTAAAGAAAAAAGAGGTTTGCTAAGAGCATGATTGCATAAGAAACATGTTGCAGCATGTTTTATAGACGGGAAGTCAGAGTCTTACCTCTGGCAACATAATGAGGCTAAATGTCAGGACAAAGAGAACCATGTTTACTCCATACATCCATCTCATGAAGAGAAAATATGAAGCCACCGATGAGCCAAACTGACCTGTTAGAAAGAAAATTAAGGAGTTGAGGACTTCCAGTCATGATGACAGTGTAGTTAGATGTGGTACTCAAATCCTCCTACAACCACAACAAAATTACAAGTAACCTACAGAAAACTATTATTTAGATCCACCTGAAATCTAGCTGAAGATGCAGAGTGAGTTGTGTGTGGTAGACAAAAATCAGAAGGGATTTCTTGGTTGGAGAGGTTCCCCCCCGGAGGAGAGAGGGGACACAGCCCCATACCAAGGTTCCCAGCACAGAGTTTCAATGCCGGGAAGAAAAATCCTCATAACTTCTGGCTATAAAAATCAGCAGGATTGTGGCTGAGAGAGACAGAGGATTTCTAGTGTCCGAGGCAGTTCTACTTAAACAGCCCACATGGAATTACTCAGACTCACTCCCTCTGAGTTCCAGCACTGAAGCAGAAGCTTAAAAGGAGCCAGGGATATACAGGGAGGAACATAATTATCTGGCATCAGGGCGAGAGCTGGAGGTACGATAACTTTCTGCCAGATAAAATTGCTGGCAGATGCCATCATTCCTTTTCTGAGACCCCACCCCAGTGAGCTGGCAGATGGGTATCTCAGTCTCCACGAACCTGGCTCACACTGATTGCCTTGCCCGAGTGATTCCCTGAGGCCTTATCCCTCCCAACTTGTGGGCCCACCCAAGCTGTTTCTAGTGGCTTTCCCATACTAATGGCTTGTCTTGGCTCATGCTTCACATTTCTTAAAATTTCTCAAACAAGAAGAATCTGGCCTTAGTATTCCCCATACCTCTCATTAAGTGGCCCCAGACCTGACACTAGCAGCAGTTGGTCTTGGTTTTCAGACTGGCCCCACATGATTACCTCCAAGCCCAGCACAAGTAGAAGCCATCAGCACATCACTCTGTAGCTCATGCCCAGTGGTCCTGGGCAGAACACAGGTGGCAGCTGACCTTGGCCTGTACCTTCTGGGATGCCGCAGAGCCAGTGTGCCCAGTGCACAGCTTCAGATCATATCAAAGTACCACCCAATCACCTCCATAAGTGAAACACTCAAGGGGAAGACTCAGTGGGCACCAGAGCCCTGCTGAGGTAAGTCCTGCTCTGTGGTGTAGGCCCTGACATGGCTGATTGTCCACAGTGTTTGGAGGTCAATGGTGAGTGGCCATAGCCAGTCCTTACATGTGATCTGCCTGGGTAAACCCCTACCACTAATGTGCTGACAATAATCAAGGCCCAACTACAAGAGGAGGGTATACACAGCCCACACTGTGGGTGTACTTTGAGTATCCAGCTTGGGCGATAGGTGAGGCTGTTCCATTGGACCCTACAGGACACCTACTTGATTAGGCCATGCTATCCAGACAGGGAGACAGAACAAAACTCCAGAAAAAGAAACAAAATGGAGACAAATAATCTACTAGATGCACAGTTCAAAACACTGGTTATAAGGGTGCTGAATGAACTTTAAAAAAGACTACATGTACTTAGAATTTCAACAACGTAATAAAGGACATGAAAACAATAAAAAATGATCAGTCAGAAATAAATGATACACTAAGTGAAACAAAGAATAATTTATGGGGGATGAAGAGTAGAGTAGATGAAGCCAAGAATCAAAACAGCAATTTGAAATATAGGAAAGCAAAATACACCCAGTCAGAGCAGCAAATTGAATCCCCCCAAAATGAGGATAGTGTAAGAAGCCTCTGGGACAACTTTAAGCATACCAACGTTTGCATCATGGGGTGTCAGCAGGAGAGAGTGACAGAGAGCTAGATATTAAAAACTTATTTGAAAAATGACAAAAAACTCCCATAACTTGGTGAAGGAAATAGACATACAAGTCCAGGAAATGCAGAGAATCCCAAACAAGATGAACCCAAGAGGCCCACACCAAGAAACAGCATAATTAAAGTGGAAAAAGGTTAAAGACAAAGAGAGAATCTTAAAAGCCACAAGAGAAAGACAGTTAGTTATCTACAAGGGAGCTCCCTTAAGACTGTCACCTGATCATTTAACAGAAACATTGCAAGCCAGAAGGGAATGGCAAGAAATATTCAAAGTGATGAAAAGTAAAGATCTACTACCGAGGTTACTCTACCCAGCAAAGCTATCATTTAAAATTGAAGCACAAATAAAGAGCTTCCCAGACAAGAAAAAGCTAAAGGAGTTTATCACCACCAAACCAGTATTACAATAAATGTTAAAGCTTTTTTGAAGAAGAGGAAGAAGAAAAAAGATTTTTAAAAAGAAACAATTAAATGACAAAAAATACATATCTATCAACAACTAAATCTGAAAATCAAAATAAGTGAATGGATGGAACAGAAACTGACTCGTGAATGCAGGGAACATTTTGATGGTTGCTGGGTGCGTGTGTGTGGTGGTTTGGGGGATGGGTGAAAGAGGTGAGAAGATTGAGAAGTGGATTGCTGTGGATGGTCATGGGGATGTGGAATGCAGCATGGGGAGTGCTCCATAGTGTCCTACTGGCTGTCTGTGGTGTTGGATGGGTGCAGGGTTTGTCAGGATGATCACTTAGTAAGTTATACAACATATGGTCACTGGGGTGTACACCTAAAGCTAGTATGGTATTGTGTTTTTTAAGAAAAAAATAAACACTAAATAGTTGAAAGGACAAAACAAAAGTCATGCCTTGATGCCTTCCAAAATAAATCTGCTCCTTGTAACACATTCGCTCCTTTCATGTTATCGTCTCTGGCATTCTTTTCCTATCTAGGAAGAGAAAATACTAATCCCGAAGGAAGTGCACAGCTGCAGTTGTATAAAAGGATTATGACCCACAACTTAAGAGTCCATCCAAGAAAAAACTGCTTTTTGCTTGGCAGCTAAGATTGCCATCTGAAGAGCCCATTTTATTCCTTGCATTAATACAGTTAAGTGAACAAATGTATATAAAGTGGTCATGACTGCCTGGCCAGTAGTTAGCTATCACTATACATAATTATACACATTTGCTGTATTTCTTCCTCCTTTTTCATAGGCAAACAACACCCTTCTCAGAAAGTTGACCACGTCTCTTATAAATGGTTATCCTACAGACCATCCTGTGTTGTTTGCCACATTACTAATATTTTGTGAGTACAGCATAGAAGCTGAAGTTCATTCACCCACTTCACACATTTTTACTAAGTATACTCTATCAGGGATTATTTCAGTTTTGAAGGACAATATCACACACATGGTTATTGTCTTAATACAACTTACATTTTAGTGAGGTGTAAAACTAAAAATGGATCTGCCTTTTGACCCATCAAATCCACTGCTAGAATTATATCCTGAGAACCCTGAAACACCAATCCAAAAGAACCTATGCACCCCCATGTTCATAGCAGCACAATTTACAATAGCCGAGTGTTGGAAGCAACCTAGGTGCCCATCAGTAAATAAATGGATAAAAAAATTATGGTACATTCACACAATGGAATTCTATGCAGCAGAAAGAAAGAAGGAGCTCCTACCGTTTGTGACAGCATGGATGGATCCGGAGAGCATTATGTTAAGTGAAATAAGCCAAGTGGTGAAAGACAAATACCATATGATCTCACCTTTAACAGGAACCTAAACAACAAAACAAACAAACAAGCAAAATACAACCAAAGATACTGAAATAGAGAACAGACTGACAGTGACCAGAGAGGAGAGGGGAGAGAATTTCAGGGGGAAAGGGAAAGGATTTACAGAAACAAGTATAAAAAACACATGGACAAAAATTAGGCGGAGGGTGGAAATGAGAGAGAGGTGGGGATGGCTGGGGGGTGGGCTGAGATGGGATTCAAAGGCAGAAAACTGTATATGAACAACAATTAAAATAAAATAAAATTAAAAAAAAGAAAACTGAAAAACAAATATACAGGAATTTACATATTGAAAAATAAATATATTTATCATAATACATACTATATATCACACATTCCTATATACATCATACAGTATATGTGTATGACATATAATATATTAAATGTATATTATATATTATATGTATGTACATGATGATGAATAATACCTATGAATGAATTGTGTATGTACCATATATTATATAATATATGTAATATGACATGATTATATTACTATAACATTTTATATATTAATATGTAATATATATACACACATATATAGTTACAGCTAGATGCGTTCTACAAAGAGGAGGATAAGGTATTGAGAGGGGTTGCTTTAGACAGGTTGGTCAGAAAGGTAAATCAGAGAAGGTAACATTTGAACAGAGATCTGACATTGGAGGGAGAGGTAGAAATGCCACTGGCTGGAGAAGGGCAGCTCAGGCAGAGGAAAAAATGAAAACAAATATCACGAGGAAGGCAAGAACTCATGAAAACTGAGGACCAAACCTAAGGCCTGTGATGGGAACAACAAATAAGCCAAACCACAATCTGTAGGGCCTCCTAAGGCAATGACAGCAGTGAAGACTTTATTTTAAGTGTGATGAGAAATCACTGACAGGTGTTAAGCAACGGTGGATAGAGGACAGTTTTGATCTTTAAGAAATCACTTCAACTCTGGGGAATAAATTTGAAGAGGACAGGCAAAAATGTTTTATGAACTTACACCTGCCCCAAATGGTAAAAAGTGAGGTGATCTGTTCAATGCTTTTTGAATGACGAAAAAAATAAAAGCATTCTCTTAAATTAGAGAATGTCAAAGGAAGAATAAAACAGGAATTTGAAGTCTCAAGTGAAGATTTCATAGACTTACAAAAGCCTAAGCTCTTTTGATCTTCACTTAAATTTCATCATCAAGTTGCTCGTTTTCCCAGTCTTCCCAATTCTCATTTTCAGTTGCCCATGGAGAACAAGGAACAGCTTTGGCCAACTGCTGCATTAACCCCTTTGCCCTGTCTCATTCAGCTAAGCACCTCTGGTGACCATCGGCTTCCTTGAGCCAGCTGTCTCTGAAACATCATGGGAGGAGGAAGGTTCATGTGGAGCAAATTGCAGCCTCTGCTTACTAAGATGAGGCCAAGCTCATGTGAG